CAGCAGATGCATGTAAAATTAAAAACGGGAGACAATTCTTTTATTCATTTTGTGGGGTGTGCCGTTATGTTGTGGTGATGGAAACCCCTTCATTCAACTCCAAATGGTAACCCTAGGAGCAGCCAAGACAGGATCTCCAAGCTTCCTACGCTATTCCACACAAAAATGACGATTGGAGGTCCACTGCCAGGAAATGTTCAAGGACACATGAGACGAACCATTAAGCCCAAGCGTTTTGATTCTGCGCCATTCCTTTGGTCCCGTCCCCCATTCTCCCAGCCTGAGGTACTTCAACCTCCAGCGTAGTGCTGTTGTCCATCCATCCATCCATCACAGCTCATATAAACATCATGTCCACTCATAGCATCCCCTCAGGTTAATGTACAGTAAAAAGGAAAAAAAGTGTGCCACCCTTTCAAACCCCACAGTCATACTCATTACCAGAGCTTTCAACTGGCATGCCTCATCATTTCCCATAAAACCTTGCTGCATCAAAAAAGGTATAAAGAGACCATCTGTGCTATTTCCAGCGACTTGCCCTTTATAATAAACCTTGTTTGAGAATTGAAAATTAGAGCGAACGCACCACTTCTGATGATTCAATCGTGATAAATCACGTCACGTTAATTTATAGGGACTGGTGTCAAATCGGAGCTGAATGAGTCGTTATTCGCCGGGCGGAGAACATTCTGCTCATGATTTACATGTAGATACCGTTTTAAGCAATAATTGCCCATTCATCGTTGCCTCCAGTTAAGGCTTCCCAGGCCGCAGCTTTCGTCTCCGGCCTCACTTGCTCACAAAAGGCAGCTTAACCTGAGTCACCTAACCAAAAGCAGCTGGCCGCAGCGGCTACCTGGAAGTCTGCTTAGCTTTACCTAGCACTCAGTAATTACATGGCCATTAGGGCACCTCCCAGCACCAAACCACACAGAGGGCTAAATTCAAAAGCTGTCAGTGATTAATTACCAGTTGCCCATTGGGTTGAGGCTATCTGAGGGGATTGGCACAACTGTAACTGTATCAGGCCACTGGGATTACACACTTTGTTGGGCAGAAAGGGGGCGTGGAGCCCTGCTTGGCCACAAGGAGTTGAAAAGGAGTGATTAGGTGGAGGATTTTGTGGGCTGTGTGTGTGTGGAAGTTTGCCTCTGCTGAAGTGAATCAAATCTGGACTTAACAAAACAAGCCAGACAGATATCGCTGCATCTGCTTCTGTTTTTATTGTGACATCATAGCCATCTGATTTGACCCCCTTCTGCATCTTGCCTGTGACAACCAGTGTTGGTGGTTTAGATGTGTGTGTGTGTGGGGGGGGGGGGGACGACAAACAAAGTCCAGCACATTACGTGTTGTATGTTTTCTCAAGAGCACTTTAGCCGGTGTTTAGCTGGCAGGCTTTTTGAAGCGAGAAATGCTGCAGAGTGGGAAAGGGGGATATAGGGGTGGGGAGGGGAGGGGTGGGGGGGTTTGAGATGTATGGGTAAGTAAACGGGGAAGGAGCAAAGCACCAGTGCTTGCTGACTGCACATTTTATTATGGTCCCATTAAATAGCATGCTCTGCTTGGAAGGTAGATCCCAGGGGAGGAGAGAAAGACGAAAAACAAAAACTAGCCGCCAATGCTGAAACAATTATTAGAGGGATATTTCACGGTGTGGCACCCTGAGTGGGCGTGACTTCAGACAATTCACACCAACTTGGTTTGATGGGTTTGCTTCTCCCCATAGAACCAAAACTATTTACACCAAATGTATGGTGAAAAAACTGTTACTTAAAAGGAGTAAACCCCACAAATGTAGCATTGGCCTTCTATAACATCATCGGGCTTGCAGTTCAACAGTGAAAAGAAGTACCAAAATCAATGCAGCAGAACCAAAGTTGTCTCTTTTTAATCCACGCATTCTGCCTCGAGCTGCTGGCCTCAAGCAGAGACGAGGAGCGGGCTACAGAGGTCTGGTAAAATCACCAGATTATTTTCATTTTCAAACTGACACTGCAGGTATAATATGGTTATAAAGCAGAGGACAGTCTGACATTTTGACCTGATGATAGTACTAGTAGTAGAAGTCAAAGTGGCTACTGTTAAAGCTTGAGGGGAACATAAATGTCAAAACCAAATTTCATGGTAATAAATCCAAAAATTGTCTAGATATATGACAAATGTCAACCTCTTAGTTGCTCTAGAGTAAAAGTCAGGGGATCGCCAAAAACCCATGATTTTCTCTACTAAGTTCCACGGCCATCTATCTAATACTCGTTGAGATATTTCAGTCTGGACCAAAGTGGTTGACCACCCGACCAACACAGTCATCTCATAACTGAGCGCTAAATGACAGCAGTACCAGGCACTGTTAGGATGGCCCCAGAAAAAAAAAGAAGCTTCACCTTCATGAAGCAAGAATTAAATCAGCATGAATACAATATACTTTAAGTTCACACGGCAGACTCTCTCTGATAAAGATGGTACAAACTTCCTAGGATTCAGAAACAACCTATAAAATATCCTGAAGCTATGGACCATTGCTCTGTCTTTGCAAACCACTCCATCTTCTTTGACAGCAATAAAGTGAAGACTGTGAAAAGCACATTACGGTCCTCCCCGTAAAAAAAAGGAACAAAACAAAAGCCACATATGAGCCACGGGCTGTCTCCCAGACACAAGAGAGGATCACTATTGAGTGAACCCATTCAGCATTCATATAAAAGATATTTGGCCTGAAAAGGGTCACTCCAAAACATTAACAAAGTATGCTGTATGTGTAACACACTTGCACTGCATGAACATTGCAATATTAAATACACAACAGACTCTTCAAAAGTATGCCGTTGATACTTTTAAGTGACCAGAGTTCTTAAAAAAAAATAAATTAAAAAAAAAAAAAAAAACTGGACATGAAAAAATGTAATGGCATAAGAGAGTGCCAGTTTGCAAGATGGAGCTCGGCATCGCCTTGGCTTTTGGGTCGCCACGCTTCATTTGATGCGAAATGTTTTCATTGTTGTATTTCTGCCCCGTACAGTGATGTGGTGGGAGAAGATAAAGAGCAGACATACGATAGGGATTGAGAACAGAAGAGCAGCGTGATTGTGAGAGTCTCATTATGGTTAATACTTCCAGTACTTGTGTCTCATTAATTCAGGCATTTCCACTCAGCTGATGACTCATTCGCAATTGATAAACCACTTGCAAAAAGGAAAAAAAAATAAATGTGGCTCATTCATTGTGGATTATTGCTTTCACCGCCTTGTTTCTTCTTTCACCTATGTCTGATTATGATAGATGTTAATATCCTTTTGTGTTGCTGCATGAATCCGTGAGAGAATCTTTTTGTCTCTCCCCTCAATAGAGAGGTCAGAGATCAACAGAACAGTCCCTTGCTTTAGTAAGGATTCAGCATCCTGCCCCAAGGACACTTCAATCCTGCAAGACTGATTCTTTCCAACACCTGGATTGTCCATCCAAAAATCCAAACCACGATAGAGCGACTCTGAACAATGTCACAACTATGACCTTTCCAGAGGGGTCACGTACAGTATTGTTCACACTTACTGCATTACATTCCCAGCTGGAGTTGACTGAGGCCGTGATGTGGACAGATCCCTCGGCATCAGACTTTGAAGAGTTGTGAAAACGTGCACGTTTCCTGCAGCATGTAGTCTACCCAGTGCTGTGTATATAACCACACAGACAGCAGTCTGCCAGACACGAGCGTAACGCTCATATGTGCCTCATTGAGAGCATGTGTTACTACCATGCAGTGATGTTTCATTCACAAAGGCAAATATACTACTCTTTAATTCTGATTTCAGGGACTCCTTTTATCCCGATTAAGAGGGGCTGAGGATCCTGTATGACCAAACTTTGGTATTCTGAATGCTTGTCAGTGACCTTGGAGGTATGTTTGAGTAGTTAGAATATTTGACATGAAAAAATACAAATGAAATAGAATGCTATGAGCCAACGCTTCAAATATATACATCTGGTGGAATCCAAAAGAAATTCACATATCCTCAGTCCTAAAAGGAAACCATACATCTCCAAGATGTCTAAAACATTCCTGTTTTCAGTTTGGTAGCAAAGCATTTTTAATGGTGAATTTAGCTTAAAAGTTTAAATCAATCCATTAAGGAACACTCAATTCTTCAGTTTATCTGACAGACTTTGGATATACATGGTTTTCATTTAACCAAGACTATATTCTATTCCTTTGACCTACACCAGATTGAAAAAAAAAACATGCTTTCAGAGACAATAAATGGATATTCAAGACTTTAAAAATCGGTTGTATCCACAACCCTTCATGCATAACAGATGGAAAACATTCTTAATGGGCTTATTGAAATATTAAACTGCACAACCATCTGACCTTTTTTTCATTTTCTCATTCTTACTGGAGCGGTCAACACATATTGAGGAGCATTGTGACGTCTCACAATGACGCACAGTAGTGATGGTAGGATTTAAAATGTCAGAAAAAAAACAGATGTGATGTTACAGCCCAAAACTTTGCAGCTTTCCCTCCAACATCCTTGAGCGGCACTGAAGAATAACCTCGACTCCATCCCAAAATGATCAGAACGCTGACCCCCCCCCCCACTGAAGGAAGTAATGTTTCCATCTGCTGGTGGCAAATGTGAACTTCAACATCTCTTTTCCAACAGGACAAGTGAGCAGGCAAAACAACACAAGTCAGACAACCTCTCAGCACTTCTATGTATAGACTGCTGTTAAATACCTTTCTTTCTGCTAAGTGTAATGGCCAGTCAGCTGTCTGCATCCTTCACAGCAGATGTCAACAAACTATCAACACTATCCAGGCAAACTGTCATGTGTCATCGGTTTCAATGAAATAAACCAAAAAGGACCTGTTCAGAAAGCTTACATTCATTCTCACATCAACTCTTGACTGAGTCACAAACATGCTTCAAATCCAGCAGATAACCACGTGACCAGAATACATGGGAGGGGGGGTGGGGGGGGGAGTAAGTTGTATTTACCTGGAGGGCAGTTGCATTCAGGTGATGCTTGTCGTGCAGTCCGAATCTTGACAAAATGTTCATAGGAGCGCTGAAATTGTAAAAAAATTAAAAAAATAAAAATTTTCATTCATTTGCACATAATGCTTTCAATAAAATCAAACTGGCAGGATTGTCACTTTAAGGGGAAGTAAAAGCGCACAAACAATTAACAAGAGCAAATGAAAGAGCCAACGTTACCTGAGAGAGCAGCTCACCCACTCTGTGTTCAATCAATGAATTAAAATCATCCATGGAGTAGCCAGGAGCACGGATAAAGGTGTGCTCGCCATTCCCCCCCTCCAAGTCCACAACCCGGTTCTTAAGATCAGCTGAGTTAATGCTCAGAAGAATGCAAAAGGCGATGGACGCCACTGAGCATAAAGACGAGATTGCGTTCAGCACTGTCGTGCGGCAATATTGTCGCTTCTGAGGGGTCACTTCTTTCTCCATCTTTTCCACGCACTTAGATGCTCCTCTTGCCTCCGCGATCTCCATTTAACTACAACTGCACGCGCTTGTTGGGCGCAAACTGCATCTGGCGCGGAGTCACGGATTTGTGGCACACTGTTTTGCGCGTGTGAATGTGCCTGCTTGCCTGCGACGCGGCGTTCACGTACAGTGACTTCGTGTGGGCAGCGACAGATAGATGAGAGGAGTGGAGCACCACTCTGCTCCAGCCAAGGCAAGTCAAGTCAACCTGCACTGACGGCTCCTGCAAACTTGTTGCACCGAGCCCGCTGCACAGTAGCCTAGTCTACTACAGAGGAAATTGCTATTATGCACAATAAAGTAGAAAGAGAGGCTGGGGAAATCGAAGGCAGCGCGCATGTAGTGGAGACGGCGTTAATACTCGGAGCTTTTTCCTCCGCGGCGCAGGCATGCTCCCCCTCATTACGGCTACAACACGCCTCCAATCTGTTCTGACTGATTAACATAATTTATTGACCCGCTCCTTTCGAGCTCTTTTATTGTGTTTCTGTCAGATCTCCAGTTATCCAACGGAACGCTGCGTAAAAATGCAATTACTTTTTGTAGAAAATGTTGTTTTGGTAAGATAGCAAAAACTTGAAAACAATAAATCAGTCATGGGATTTTAGTGTTGTCTAAACTTGAAAGGTTACATTCTCTGCAGCCAATGTATAACGTTTTGGGGGGGGTTGGCCATTGCGCTGCGTAAAAACGCACGAAAAGCCTAAAAGCTCTCTTCCTGAGGGTATTCGGGTGGATAGAGGCGCTCACGGAACTGTGCAAATCGTATTGATTGCTGGTGTTCAATAGACACCACGCAGAGCGAAGAGAGCCACAGAGCCCTGCAGCGCTCAAGCAGGGATGCTGGCGTTAAGCGAACCCACAGTCTGTGACCACTCTGTACTGGTTGCTGCCATGAATTCTGATCAGATATCAGTTAATATCCATCAAGTCTGAAGCAGATAATGCACGCAAATCATCAGTGATTAACATTACATGATACTGGGAAGAACTGGGGATTGGGGGTAAAAATTCTTCTGAGAAATTCCTGCTAATCGAACAAACTGACAACAGTGAAGAATTACTTTAAATATTTCTGCACTTTGCATCAACTTCTAATCCACATTCATAACTGAACACTTTGTGTGAATGGCACAATAATACAAATTTAATGCATTTACTCAGCTTGCAGCAGCATCAATACAAGTGTTCCCTCTGTCAATGCATAAACGCAGAGGGCTGACATTTGAATTCAATGGGCAGACTCTTCATTTGAGCTATTAGAGTTATATTTAATGAACAGCTATATCAGCATCTATCCCTACACACTGTTCAACCGTTTCAAGATACCAAAATATGTTTTGAGTGACACTGAATCGAGAAGTCCTTTTTCATATGCAGTCAGAAATGTATAATCAGAAAGGACTTCAAATATCCATAAACCTCCCCAGACTCCTGACTTCTTATTCTCAAGTTCCTCTTCCGCAGCCTTTTTGCATTTTAAAGTTTCTCTGTGAAAATAAAATCACTCAGTGAGAATGAAGGATATGAGTTATCAACGTGGATTTTACTTATTTATCAGGGCAGTTTTTGTCTTCTTTGTGTTCCCAAATAATCAATGTGTATTCTACAATAATTGGATTTATACATTAGCTCTGAGAAGTTCTACATTCTTATTATATTCATATTTCAAGTCCGTGCCATCTCATATGGGTCATGTCTTATGCCAGTGCAATAAAATCAGCATCTCTCATGCAATTCAGAACAACTAGTACGTACATAAAAGTAAACATACCCATTCAATTAATGTTCTTTGCACGGCGTCAGAAGCAAATTAACATAAGCAATCCTAAAGCACTTTAGATTCATTAGTTTGCAGTGACAGCAAGACACTGGTGTTATTGCTTTGTTGCACAATCTGCAGACTTGGGAGTGCAAAACGTATTTGTCATAATACTTCATATAATGAGGGAAAAATCCAAGAGACGGTAAACGCACACAGGTGATTTTGACTATTCTACCTGATTAGGTCTCCTCAGGTGAAAGACTGCTTGATGAACATCTCCCTCACTCTCCTGTTAGCTTTGCTCCACCTGTTGCCAACTTCAACCTGAGCAGAGGTCAAATCAGCCTGAATAACTGAAAACACCTGTGCCCCTGCGTGTGTGTGTGTGTGTTAAAAACTACAGAAGGACAGTACTTGTATGTCACTTTGTTGACTGTATAAATGTGACCCAATGGAGTTACTGAAGTGCATTTGACATGCAGGTACTTTGACCATGTGCTATTTGCACAGTTCATTAACTGCATTTGTTCAGCTGTGTTTTGTTTTTAATCACTTAGTTAAGTCATTTAAAAGGCTAATGTAGCACCATTTCCCCTGCAACTGAAAATCTATGAGAGAGGCTGGTATTTCACGGTCTAAATGCTGCTTCAGACACTTGTATACAATGCAATTCTATTAACACTAAATATTTGTCTTGGGGTTTTATTAATGGAAGAATACTTATCAGCACAAAATACTGAAATGTCAGTCTAAAAATATCGATAACAGGTTAAAACCATCTTCACTTCCCTTTTTTTTAAAGTTAAAAACAGACATGGCCAGTATTTCCTCAGAAATCATGCTGTACAAATGCCAAAGTACAAATGATCAAGAGTTTGTCTTTTGAAAATGTAATTCATCACATTTAATTAATCATGTCTAAATAATTTATCCTTTCAATTTTTGTATTTGTAGATATTTATATATGTACATGCTAAATCATGTTTTATATATTAAGTGTTGTTTTTTTAGAGCTGCTCCGTTGGATTACCAAAGGTTTATTGCGTTTTGACGTCTCCCGTCACATCTGTTAAATCTCTGTTCTGGTTTATGCTGTTGGAAAGCCTAATAAAAACAACCATCGTCGTAACTCATAAAATATATGGTTTTACTCATTCTCTCACAACTATATTCTCAACTGATCCCAGATCGCAATAACTGTTTTGTTAAAAGGCTGTCTATAGACTATGCTGTCTATTTCAAAATATTATCCGCCTTCCATTTTTTTTTTGCCAAACACAATAGAGAAGCAGGTTATAATATAATGTGGGTCAGGTGCTCTCTCCATATGTAGATATTAAAGCTTTGGACGCCATCTACTGGACAAACACAGAAACGTACTTGATGTTGCAGATTCCATAATCCATAATTTAACATTTGTGCGTGGTGAAATCCCCATGACATCATCCGTGTGCGAAATCAGCAGTTCACGAGGTCAACATTTCCCCTACTCTCAGTTGCATCTACGTGCTTATATCCCATCTCTCGCGCTCTCTTTTTTTTTCTTTTTTTTTTTTGGGCATCACTACAAAGTGACAGATGGAGTCCTGCGACAAGGTCACGTTGCAAAACGCACGACTCAGCAGCCCTCTCTGCATGTTCCAAATTCAAAAATAACTCGTATAAAACAGTAAAAAGCCACATAATCTCGCGGGGCTGATAAACTACTTTGTATATTTTTCTAAAGTGTCTCCTCCACTTTATGCAACGACTACAGGGGTATTTGGAAATCCTCTTTACTTGCCAAAAAGCGCATCATCACTCGCAGCGTCCTCGCCTTGACAACCGGCCTGCATCACAGTAATCCACTGGTGTTTATTTTTAGATGCTCTCAGCCGCGATGCGTGCTACTCTCGTTCAACACACACACCAATGTTCCTCCGGTCAATAATTCATATGTAGGCCTGCAGCAGCACAGAGTCACAGAGCAGGCTGCAACAACTCCGACACAGAACGCCAGAAAAAGCGCACCGCCTGACGAGCGATGAGCAAAAACACTGCGAGGCAGCAAAATATGCAGCAAAACGACAAACAGGCCACATCTATGAGGTGAGGTATTCCATTTATGTTTTATTTATGGAAACATCGCAATTGTGGTTGTGCCGTCATGAAGAAAACACAAAATACTGGTCGGTGACCTGCTTGTATTATAGCAAAATTTCCTTTATTTGTATGGAATTATCTGACCTGTATACAGTTGAACGTTGTATACAGTTTTTTTCTTTTTGAGGGGGTGGATACGTCTACAAAATGTGTGATCAGGTTTACTCCTGCAAGGGTTTCATGCTGATTTTAGAACAATATAGGCTTACAAAATCAACTATTTGATTATCTTTGTGGCAAGGTAAGCTGTTCTAACTCAGGGAACACAAACATTTCACCCGTTATTTATTTTGCTAAGCCTTTTTACTTGGCCTTGTGTTTCTTTTATACAGTACTTCGTCTTAATGCCTCTACATGTCTAATGTAGATTATGGCACAGTTGCCTTGTTGATGAAAGTGTAAACTTGACGTCCAGGAAGCACTTCGGCCCTCAGAGAGCCCAGACACGGGCCTCTCTTACCACAGAGCACCAGGTAAGGTTCCTTCCCCCCACGCTGCACCAAGACCATCGTATGTTGCTCAACACAGAGAGACCCTTACCCTCCACTGAAGGGGACGAGTGCCAAAATGACCACTTGGAGGTATCTAAAGTTTCTGTCTGGACACATCTTAGTGGAACTAAGCTGTGAAAAGTTGTTCTCACGTTATGTTCCTGGTGGGTGAGGCAGATTGATGCCAATGTCTCCCCACCTGTGAGGGCCAATTGACCAATGATGCAGTGCATCTGTCTCTTTGCCCACCTGGGTGCCTCATGTCCAGGCTGCCCGAGGTGTGGTGGTGAAAGTCACTCTGGGAAATGTAGGAAACTGGAGTTGAGCAAGACGCAGCGTTTGGCAGCAATTTGGTTGGCACATTATTCAGAGCATATTGGGAGAATTTGGGGGATTGGACGCGTTTTGAAACTCTTACCTGTATAAAAAATAAAAAAAGAGGCAAATTCACATGTGTTTCAGATCAATCTACGTGACCGACAAATGGACAAAACAACCATCTGTGCCACCGGAAGGCCACCGGAGATGCATCAGCATCGCACACAATCCTATGCGCTTTGAAGCGAACCAGATGGCATCCAAGTTGGACTACACATCAGTGTACAAAAGTAAGCAATGTGACCATCAGTACAGTCATTCTTTGCGGGAATATAAAACAAGAAATATACACACACCCCGATTCAAATTCACTCTCGCTGTCTCTTATTTTCAGATGATTTCCAAGCATGGAAAGTGAAGAGGCGCCTGCCATATAAGCTAACCGACAGCTTGACGGTCAACCAAGGATTAGTTGTCACAGGCCATCCCTCCAAAAGTCGCTTCCAGAAAAATTCTGTTCAAGTTGCAGCCAACTCTAAACCAGTCCCACAACCTTTTGAAAGTGTCACCAGCTACAGATCTGACTACGTCACCCATCCGGTGCAGCCCACGCGCCGGGAGAAGCCTGTGTACCACGCCAAAGGTCTGCTATCTCAGCCTGCTGTGTCTTTGAAGCCAAAGGTGGCTTGGGCGGTAAACCAGGACATTTTTGACAAAGCCAGTGCATTGTTTCAGGAGTTCAAGACCTGGTCCCTTGAAAACAAGTTCCACGGCAAAGGCAAAGCCAAAGAGTCAAGTTCACCGTCAGACCACTGCAACTTCCTCTCCACAACGCATGCAGACTGCACGGAACACAAGTGCCAGCGTGCCAAACCAGTCCTGCCATCGAAGCAAACCGGAGAGACGAGCAAGGAGCGCTTTTGGGGAACGACAACCATGAAGGAGGATTACAAATCTTGGGACATGCCGCAGCGCTTCCCCTCCGTCCGTAAAGAGCAGCTGGCCTGGCCCGAGAAAACTACCTTTTCACTGTGCACGCCTAAGCCTGCTGAGGGCCGCAAAACAACTCGAAAGCCATTTCGCCATCACCCCAAATCGAATAAGAAAGCATCCAGCTGCAATGCCACCAAGAGAACTCACCGTCCTGCTGAGGATGGAGCACTTTCCAACTTGGAACGCAGCTCCCCTGGGACTCAAGAGTCCAGGATGTACTGGACCAGCTCTTTGGACAGAGGACTGACTTTGGCCGATGGTCGAATTTGTGAGGAGCCCCCTCAGGCCCACCAAATAATCAGCCGCATGGTTTCTAGCAGAAGCTAAGCTTCCCCAGAGACCAGGCTGATGACAACAATAAAAGCCATAAATGCAACTGAGATTACGTAACGGCAGCTATTTTTATACCACTAAGCAGCTCACTGATACTCCTCAGCACAACTCATTTTGAGTGTTATGTAATCTACTTAATTGAAGGCATTTCATATTCCGTTTGGGAAACAAGTTTGCACAAGTTAGACAGCTAAATGTGGTCTATCACAGCAATGACTGAATGGTGTTTAAATAAAACAGTGACCAGTTTAACTTTCCATCTCGGATGAACACTCAGTCCAAACTACAGTAACTTATGGTAATAGTTGAGAGTTCCTTTTACACACAAACTACATAGACAACAGTGTTATAAATACCAAAACAATAAATGCTGTAATAATCAAAGAATGGCATTTTATTCAAAAACAAAAAGGCAAATATCCTCAAAAGGAAATGCCGTGACTTGGACACGTCTTTACCGGGAGAACTCTCCAATCATATTCATATCATACACAGAATCTTTCTGTTAGCAATTAAAAATAACAAAATGTTGCCAAACTGTCTATATGCGTAGCAGCTCCAGTGCAAACAAACAAATGAGGGGACATTTGAACTTGTTACACATTCAGTTCTCTTCCAGTTAGCTACGCATTAACATCAACTGTCCCCTTTCCAATCACATCATGTAAAGTCCACACAGTTAAACATGTACGGCTGTCAGCAGCTGTCAGTCTTCTTGGAAACGGATGTGCTTATGGGCCTCTCTGGCCCGGGCGAGGATGATTTTTTCGGCTTTGGATATGAGCTGAAGTATGAAAAGAAAATAAGAAATTAGATGCGACAGCAAATAAAAAGAGAGGCAGCACTGCTTTAACGGTGGAATATGAGTGTATACGACAACATTATTCCAGATATTAATACATATCCATAAATGGATTCAGGATAAATAATAAATAAGCTAAAATATGCATCATAACCCTGTCCATTTTGAATATTACCACATGAAACCTTGTCAATCTTGATCTCACCTTCTCTGTGCCTCTCTTCTTTTCCCTCGGGCGATTGAGCTTGACTTGGCGGTCCACTAGGATCTTCTGCCAGTACCGTTGTTCATGGTCCCCTTTAAAAGTCATTGAATGGAGATTTATTAAAGCTAATATCATTACCCGCGGCTCAAAAATGCAATCAACAATTGATAAGAAACCTTTGAAAACACAGAACTGAAGACGAGCTGATGGGCGCCATCCCGATAAATTATTTTCACCATAATCAATTATTTAAAAAAAAACACAGCTCAGTCATCCGAGTCCTCTTCTCAACCGGAGAGGATTAGCGATGCATGTACCGTGTGGGTGCTTTTCATGACGCTAACTTATGCGTCCTCGCCTCCTCTCGAGGACATCGCTCCCCCTCCGCCATCACGGAGGATCTTTCAATCCCTTGATATGCAACCTCGAGGAGACGATGAGCGAGGAGGCTTCCCGAAGGAGCTGAGAGCGAGGAAACACCGGCGTATCCTTCTGCTGTAGTCTATTCAGCCATGATGACTTTTGAACTCACGAGTGGTCGTTAGTTATGAGGATCAAACTTTCTGCTCCTTTATGACATTTCACCTTGATGTTGCTTGTGTTCAACTGCTTTAATTGTGACGTGGTGTTTACATTAATTAGTCATATACAGTAGATAGACAGAAGTGTAATGTCTCTTTATTTGTATGGTGCTTTTCATAAGAACATCTGTAGTGCTTCACACAATAAAATACATAAAGGCATCTCTGTGCGTTCATGTCTCATTATATCTCTCACATTGAATCGACATTGCTTGTAAAGTGACGACTCCGAGGCCTCACTCTGTTAAATGCCTGGATATCCCGTGGGCGAGACTAAGACGCGAGTCACAACAGCGACGCGTCATGAAAAGCATCCTGGGAGCTATGCACAAATAACTGCACCTTGAACGAAGGGGGAAATAAAAATGCATACCTGCGAGGATCTCGACCTTCCAGCTGTGCTCTTTCTGCAGCTCTGCTCTGGCGTCGCTGACGGCTTTCGCGTCTTCAGGGGTGTGAAAGCGGATGTGACCCTCGGTGTCTCCGTCCAAGGTGTCAATGTAAGCTACTGGGGATATTTTGCACAGAGCATCCTACATAAAATCAAAAAAAAACACAAACTTTGGTTAATAATCTTACAGACCTATGTTGAGATTCAATTGTCTTGTGCACAAATGCCTCACTTGGTAAAGGTGAACATGTGTGAATAACTTTACCTTGACTCACAAAGCAAAGCTTGTTGGTGATCATAACTTTCCTGAATATCAAAATATAGACGATATGGATGATTTCCAGAAGGGCTGACGAGTTACATTGTACCTTGAGGAACTTCCTCGCTGGCAGCGGCTTGCCGTCTGTAATCTTCATGATGACACCGCTGGTGAACTGAGGGCCTTGGGTCGTCTCTTTCTCACTTTTCGTACTCTTCTCAACTAGAAGACAGAAAACCAACATTATTGCATTGTACCAGTTTTGGTGAAAATGATGAAATAGTTGTAAAGAAAATGTATCTTTCCCACAAGAAACTGATTTTTTTTTTTCAGACAATTTCATTGTACTTAATTTCAGCATCTTTTTGCTTCATTTCATATCTTTTGGTTTTAAAAACATATCAAAATGGGTTCACGAAGGTAATCGGAGACAGAACTGCGTCTCACCATCTTGAGGATCCCGGTCCGTCTCCACGAGACTCTTGTGCTCCTTGTGATCGATCTTATTGATGCACTTCTTCAAGGACTTCATGCTGCGCTTCTGCAACGTCAGATACTCGTCCTTCAACTCGAGCCACTCTTTCCTAATGCGGCCAAAAGATCATCATCAACATGTTTAAGTTAATGTGGTTCTGTCGGCGGTTTCACTTATTAATTCATTCCTGTTGACACATGAGGAAGAATGGAAGAGGGATCTTACTTGGACAGAACCCGGAGTGGGATAACTTCTTCCCCTATCTTCAGTTTTTCCTTGTGTTTCTTTTTCCTCTTCCTCTTTGCTTTAACTGCTGAATCATCTCGGTTTTCTTTCCCTTCTTCAACACCTCTCTCCGTGTCACTTTTAGTGGGCGTATCTAAAAAAGGGGAATAACACAGGTAACACAACAACTAACTCATGGTTTCATTGCTGTAAAAACTCATCATACATCATCTATTTTCAGGAAGTAAAAGGAAAAGCAAAGAGAGAGCAAGGGGGAAAAGTAAAGACGTTTGTATCTTTGTTGTTTCCGCCTTAAGGACCAGCAGATAATGTGTTCACTTACGAGGCTTAGTTAAATCTTTCTCCTTCTCTCCAGCTTCACTTTCACTCATCCTCCTCATCTTAGACGGCACGTCACTTTCGGATCCCTCTGCCGTCTGGGACCGTCGTCTTTTTTTCTCCGAGGTCTTCAGAGTGGCAGCGACATCCGATTCAAAATCCCCCGCCGCCGAGCGCTTCCTCTTTAGCTCCGATGGTTCTGCTTCCCTCTCTCGCTCTTTGGATTCTTCAGCAGAAGTCTGTAGTGTGGCGCCTTCTTTCTTTTTCTTCCTCTTCCTCTTTTTCTTGTCCTCTTCTTCACCTGTCGCACACGGATGTCAAGACATGCGGATCAATACAAATTGCATTAAAAACCCTTTTCTTGATATTATGCCTCAGATTTGTAATGAGTCAGGGTTTTTTCGGTTTATGGGCGGTAGAAAGAAGAAGTGATGTGACTGAAGTGATTGTATTTCATTGTACCTGATGGTGGATTGTCGGCTGGTAGAGGGATGGGCTTCCCACTTTTCGTCTTGGGGAAAATCCCTGGCTTCCGGGGAGCATCTTCAGGGGGGTTGTTCAGCATCTGTTTCAAAAGGTCAATAATGTCTGTGAGTTTTCTTTCCTGCCAAAATCAAACACGGGGCTGACCGGCTCATCACATATTTTAGGAAACAATGACATTTTATTGATTGTATTGAAGGTATCACCTCTATGGCTTTCTGTGCTTGTCCCTCCGTCTCAAACTCGATAAAGGCGAAACCCTTGGGGTCACCAGTGGTCTTGTATCTCGGGATGCTAACGTAAACCACATTCCCGCATTTAGTGAACACTCTCTCTATCCAGCTGTGCGTCACATCTTTGGGCAAGAGTTCCTTGTGAAAAAAAGAAAAGTATTATCTTATGATCCAACAGTTTTGTTAATACCAGCAGGCAGAGAACGCTTGTCAAAATAACCAGCATGAGTATGACAAGAGCTCAGTTTAAGGTGTATTTCCTCAGCATAAAACTATTTTTTTACCACATAGACTGTGCGATCGTCGACATCATTCGGTACATCTCCAATTGGAAGCTGACGCCTTACTTTATCTCCCTCGAGGTTAACCTGAAGCAAAACGGTAGCACATGTGTGTTCATTGCATTCATTGGACATTAGTTTGGAGCCATGCACAAACAAAAAACATTAACAAGACATCCTAAAAAAAGAAAATACACGTCATAGTTACCTCAACTACAGATGAATTTTTTATCGCTCTGGCAATCAGCTTGGTGTCACTTGTCAGCTTCTTCATTCGATTGAAGCTCGCCAACACAGATATATCAACATCTAAAAACAAATTACACATTTGGTACAACATTTCAGACTAAATCCAATGTTTTCGTGTCATTACATGCACTAAATGATTCAATATGAATGTAGTGTTATATCGATTGCTCCTTACATCCATCCTCTGACTCATCGATGAGTTTTTTAAGAAAACGGTCCTTATGAAGGTTGACGTCTCCGAACCAGAAGTCCACTTGCCTCTTCACATCACCCAGCAGCTGTTTCACACGCGACCTCTTCTTTTTTTCAGTCTCCTTGTTCTTACTGCTGGCTTCTGCGTGCGCAGCTTCCCTCTCTGTGTCAATCATCCTGCGGGTGAGACTGTAACACAGATCAGCAACATGCACACGTAACGCGACTTAGGTTTTGGGTCTGCTTAGCTAGCCAATTGTGTGTTAGCTATCGCTAGCAGTTGTATGTCAGTTCGCCGGTAGCGACATTTTTAAAATGGTATCGTCGTGCCCACTCCATTTCAAAACACGTCAACCCCTCACGTAGCATTGAACTGCCTTACTAATTACGAAAACTCACCTTATTTGAGATGAGGAAACTGCATGCACAAAAATAACAAAAACCGGGTTAGCTCGCTGGCTAACGTCATATGAACGACTTACTTCGTTCAGCGAGATGTCGCAGAATATATTCGTCAGATCAGAATCAGGGTAAACAGTTTAAACAACTTCCGGTGAGCAGTTTAAACAACTTCCGGTGAAGTAGTCCAAAATAAAATGTAACAAATGCATTTGAAGTTTCAACATTTTATTGACAATTGTACACAAGTTACAATGAATCTGATAAGATTAAAAAAAATATATAATATTTCATACACACAGGAGTAGTGCATTTCAAATTTAAATATAATTTGTTAAATAAATAGAAAACATGATAATACATAGTACTAGAAATAAAGTGTTCCATTAATAAACGTTTTTAAATAGGTATTTTAGTAATGATCTAATAGTCTAAAAAATGTTTCACTTGCATGTGACATTGTTTGTGCTTTTATTTTGAAGAGCCTCCCCCCCCCCAAAAAAAACAAAAGAACACGCACACACACGTCTGAGATCGACTCAACGTGTGTGTAGCATAAGTGTATAAAAAGAAGAGCATCATCACGGAAATTAATAGTATTGTTTGAGTCTCGCAGCTCGTGGCCGGTTAGCTCAGTTGGTTAGAGCGTGGTGCTAATAACGCCAAGGTCGCGGGTTCGATACCCGTACTGGCCATGTAGTTTTCTTTAACCCGCCAATTGCCTTCCACTTTCAATTAGTGTTACGCAAAGCATTCAACATAAAATATTCTTCTGTATGTTCTAGCTTATAACTGGAAGCAGGTGTAGTCCTTTTACTGTATGTGGCTCAATATCCTGTCAAACCTTTTGAGCTTTTTGCTCATGTCATCCTCAGTGCAGCACTCAATCCTGTGCTTGATGAGCTGTGATAGTTGCTTGTAGAAAGTCTTCGCCCACTGGGTCTCTAAGCAGTGGACCGGTATGTTGCACACTTTGTGGAGTACCGCCACTAACTTCTCATTACTGCTGACCTCGCACCTTTTGAAGACCCATTCGCCCCACGCTCCCCACATTTCATTATCTGTGAAGCTCACAGTTATGCTTTCTTGGGTGCAAAACGACTCTGTATCTGTGTCAGTCAGGTCATTCCATATGGCTCTGTATGAAGAGGGAATGAAAAGAAGCGTAAGAAAATGGATATTGTTGAAATATGTATTAGAATGATTTGTTGAAACAAGTCACACTCACACAACTTTTTTCAGAGGGTTTGGGGTCAAGTCACTGAGTGACAGCAGACCTTTGTAGCTCACTCGGTTTCCCTCCATCCTGTGAAGGCACGTAGGTATGAGTAACATGTTCTGAATTATCCATTGAATGTTTTACACGTGAATAAATCTGCAAACCAAATAAATTATGTTTACAAATATGAAACTATACTCAGCATCTTTATCCCTTATGAGATGATCATTTTTGACAGAAAATGGCCATAACATTTTTGTATGTAACCAGTTAGCTACCCAATAGCAAGAAATGATCGGAGACTCCAGATACAGAACATTTAATTGGAATATATATGTTTTGTTGCTTTAATGTACAGCTGTTATACTGAGCTGGAGTGCAGTTAACCAAACAGTGAGTTTACTGCATGGTGATTAATGAAAACAGTTGGCAAAAATAATCTAACAGTATTTTCTTCACAATTTCACCCTTGTCAGCTTTTACGTGATCCATGATTCAGACAAGCACAATTCTGGAAAGACTTTCATTTCCCCAAAAATATGATAATGTGGCATATCGTGACTCTTACCACAGCTCTTGAAGGTTTTTTTTCACCCGAATGGCACTAGAAAGAGTCAGCAGTTCATCATCACCGATGTCTGACCATCCAAGACTAAAATGAGAAGTGTGAAACATGTCTGGGTGATTCTTTATTCTCAAATAATGATTGCTTAGATACATATTGGTTTTCTGAGTATTGACAAAAGCCTGTAAAATGAATTGTCATCTTACCCGAGGTGGGTTATACTTTCTGACACTTGCAGCACATCCGCAATGACTTGAGCTGTTTTTATATCGATTTTGTTTTCTCCAAGCCTTAAAAATGAAAAAGTGGAATTAGTTAGCATAAACCAAATTATATACTCCTCAACATGGTTCTTGATGTGTGCAGTGATATGCATTACCCACATGGAACTGCAAAGATTGAACAATAAGTCAGGGAAGGAGACACTGCAAACCACATTTTACGAGGAACTCACCAAAGTCTGTTACATCTGAGCAGCAGGTGCTGAATGTCTCTAAGTGCCTCACGGCTTACTCCTGTCCCTGTCAAATCCAGCTCTGCTATCTGGCCCTTTGTGAGGTTCAGGAAGTACTTGATGGCATTGTAATCCATTTGAGAAAGTGTTTCATCACTGACATTCACTTGCAGCCTCTCTGGTTGCACAGCGAGGGCCAGAGACGGGTCCTGTTGCTCAAACAGGCAGTGTAAATGGTTGAGGATATGGGTCCCGCTTTCACAGTGCATTGTAAGCTCTCCGATGATCCTCTGACGATAGTCGTCCACTTTGTCCTTATGGCAACACAGCCCTACCTGCCTCGATAGGAGATTAGCATTGCGTTCAGAGAGGATTCCAGAAAGGAAGCGGTTGAAGAGGTCCAAATGTCCGTTGTTGGACCCCTCTGCAAGACCTGCACTGTGCTGAAGTGCATCAGGTAAAGGGTGATCCGTCATTGCACAATAAACTGCAGCAAAGAACTCTTGAACAGTAAGGTGCGCAAAGGAGTAAACCTCCTCAGTGCAGCCAGGCTCTTGTGCCACTGTCTTGTCGAGAAAGGTACTAACAAGGCTGCATCCCTCTAACGCTGCAACGTCTCGGTCGCTGCCGTAGAAGAGAGTTTGATGCTCCATCAGCTTTTGGAAGGCCAGGCGTCCCAGCCTCAGCACGATATCGGACAGCGGCTGGACGGTCCCTGCTTCTTGCTCTTGGCGAAAGGTTTCGGCTCTCGCTTGAGTGTGAGAGCGAAGCAAGGCCACCAGGTACTGCACATAAATGTCCGTCATGGTCTTGGGGCTCTCTCCACAGAGGTCTTCGCTTTCTTTGAGGATGCAGCACACAATGTAGCAAAATGCAGGTATGTAGCACAGTGTCAGCATTAGCTCATTCGCTGACACCACCTCGAACATGCGCTCAGCAATTGTGCTGTCCTGGAAATAACGGACAAAGAAGTCTTGAACTTCGGTCAAGGAGAAGCCAGCGATGAGCACAAAGCGGTCGATACAGCCCACGGGGATGTAGTTAATGGCTGCTGGGCGACTTGTGAGCATGACAGAAGCGTTGGGAAGCAGTTCACCTTGCATCAGACTGCCGAAGACCTCCACCACCTCTGCATCTTCATCTGGCTGAGTCACAAATGCGTCTACATCGCAGCTCCTGTAGTGTCTGAACTCATCAAAGCCGTCTAAGATGATCAGCAGTTTGTCGTCATTCGCTAAAATGTTGTCCAGTTCCTTAGCAAGGTGCCGGTTTTTACGCAAGACCAGCTCCCGGAAGTTTGTCGGTTTGTCGATCAGATTCAGGTCTCTGAAGGTCATGTGGACGATGAAGTGAAATCCGAGATGGTCCCGGTTTCCACCAAAATCGAACAGCATTTTCTGCACCAGGATGGTTTTTCCGATGCCGGCCACCCCCGACACCAGCACCTTCTTGACTGGACGGTTGCCATTTGCTTTTGAAAAGAGTTCGGCTGGTGCGATTTTCCTTTGCACCGCTGACTTCTGCTGCATAGATAGCCGCTTCTGTCCAAACGTCAGCACCTCGTGTCTTTTAATCTCTAAGCCCTGGTGTCCGTCGGCCAGCAACAGATTGACATAGTGTTCGGAAAAAAGAATTTTCTCTCCGTGACGGGTGTTGTAGAAGAGCATGCTCTCACTGCGGCGGGTGAGGACATCTTTATGCTTTTGTTTGACTTTGTTATACTCTGCAGAAGAAGATAAGATTCATGTGATTTGTCCTTTATGACAACTGACTAACACATTTAACAATGCTTCATGAAAGCCACAGAATGCACTGTATATATGAACAAAGCAATGCTATAACAAGTGTTTAACTCGTGGCATTATTGTCATCTTAAATGTACCAATGAATTGCATACCTACGGACTGAGGCTGATCTGTGTTGCCTTCATGGGAGTGTGTCTGTGCCTCTTGCTGATGACTGCTGATTGAGAGAAAAACCTTAGCTGCTTCCTCACCTTTACATGTCAGGATATCCAACACCTTTCTCACTCTGGCCCGAGACCCCAACTGACACAACACCTCCTCACGGTCATCACGAGTGAACACTTCTCGACATAGTAAGATCTCCAGCAGAGAGTCAATCCGTCCTTCCAGTTTGTCAACGAGGGAAACTCGCAGAACCCCAAGTGCAGTCAAACAAGAATTACAACCATCGTTTTCCACCATCACTAATCTGAAAAAATCCTCAGCAAATCATCTGCCGATGGTGCTCATTTGAATGGTAGCGTCTTGGTTCATGTTAAGCAATTTCCCCTCATCATTTAGAGGAGTCCTGTGTGAACGCATGTCCCTTTTCAGAGGCTGAGAAGTAGGATGTGAACTGTATGTCATAGATACAGAAAGAGGAAAGCTTTTTTCCCTGTGGCACCATAGTGTCGATGACAGAGCTGTGTTGTAATAACACCAGACTTGAATGACTTGTTCTTCCTGTTAATGGTAGAACCTCCCGTCACAGTGGTTTTTGTTCTCTGTTGTGAGTGAGTTGGAGTTAATGGTTCGACAGGAATTCCAGCAGTTGTCTCATAGATCCACTTTAATATACTCTAATACACTTTGACAAGATACTGCAGTCAGAACCACAACAGATTATAAAAGGAATGTATTTGGTTTTATTTAATAATACACCAGGCACGAGCAGAAAGCAACACATCAGTTTACCAGCAGAGGGTCCCCATTGCATGCACATCAAATACCAAAAAAACCTGTTGGGAAATGCATACTTAAAACCCACCCCTGTAATTATTTACAAAACTATGCACAAGAACACACATGAAATAAATAGTTGAAAGGACAAAACAAATATCTACAGAACTTAAGAGCAGAAGTAATATGTTAATTATGTTTTCCTTTGACAAAGTCAAGTAATCACACCTAGAAAGGCCACGTTACCTGCTAAGGTCTGTGTTGCACTTGATGATGAAGCATCGTGGAACTCCTATTGAACATAATGTGTGCAAACGCTGCATATCTAGAACGAGTATGGTGCATTAATGATGATCTTTAAAAAGGTTCCCTACTGTTTAATCCAAATGTAACACAGAGTTCATATTATTTACATGTTTTAAGGTCCACTGACGAGGAGTTACCCAAGGACTGCTTTCTGAAAATGTCACACTAAAATTTAATTTGGTGGAAAGGATGAGCAGGTACTCTTCTCCTCGTGTTTAAACGTCACAAAGTGGTTAAAGGGACATTTGAACAAATATCTTTTTCCAAGAAATAACAAAATCACAAAACAAAATATATAAACAAATGTAACTTTACAAATTAGAAAAAAAACTCTACAAGCCATGTTCTTAACAAAGACTTGGATGAGTTGAGTGCAAAATCTTTGTATTTTTTCCAAAAATTGACTTGCTACTGTCATACACCTCCATAGTGCAACCCATGCAAGATAAATCTTTATCATGTCCTACTTTTTATTCCTCCAATAAAAAATGCAGTTACAGCGCCTGCAATCCTAATTCCTTTCCTCTGCAAAAGGACTTGACCAGTCGTTACGTGCTAAATTATCCAAAATGATAGCGCAGGTCACGATCTATTTTCCCATGTGGCCGATACCAAATGTACTGCATATCATTTATCAAATGTTAGGCTTTTTGCAGTTTCCCATTCATATGATGCTGTGTTTAAACAAGCTTTTACCCATACCTCCATATGCTCATTTAGCATCAGAACTATTTATCAACACTGTTACAGAGACCATTGCAATAAAGAAGAAACACACAACTATCCAGTGGTTACAACGAGCTCAGGGGTCTACCCAGAATCCCTGGGTATGAAGTCAATCATTGAAAAGAAAAGTATTTTAATTGCATATTTGAGTATTGTAAGCTAAATTGCACGACAATATGCATCCTATTTTGGAGATGAAGTGACGGTGCTACAATTGAACCTGGTGGTGCAGCACCGTTTAAAAAATAAAACTACACCAGATATGTTAAATGTGGATAGGTTGTCCTTTATGAGTTCCCCTTTATGGAACCACACAGTCACCACAAGTTTCTATCACTCATATTGAAAATACATCTGATGTTACGTTTGCATAATTTAGGAAAGCTTCATGTTCCTTTTTTCCCCCGAAGAAGTAAAAGTGAAGCTTTCATTAACAGACCTGTGACTCCACTCAAAACCTTCAAATTTAAAACGCACACATGATTTCTGTGAGGAAAGTAGATCACAACCATTCTAGGTATGACCATCCAAACATTCCTCCACACTCAGGAATCCCCATCCAAGACTGATCACTGACGACAGTTATGGGGTTAAAGTATGGGGGCGTAGAGGTTTCAAGTCTCTGTTGGCTGTCTGAGCATCTTCCCCAACCTATCCAGGTCGTCCACGACCCTCGTCTTATGTGCCCGCCTCAGGTGTTTCGGCAGGAATCACAGCAGCGGCTCTTAAACTGGGGCAGCGGACAAAGCTCCAGTTGTCGAACCTTCTCGCAGTACCTCGTGCTGTCTCGACACTCTCCTGCTGGAGTACACGGACGTTACAGTTTACTACACATACTCCCTTTAAGCATCTCTACAAGATGGAAAATCTATTAAGTATCTAGTAATGCAGTTTAATATGAAGCAGATTCAAGATACCAACTTCTGAACCTTCCATCATTCAAATACAGCGGAGGTTAGTGGAATTTCACGAGTGCTTTTCAAAGCACTGACATATTTCAAAAAACATTGGAAATTGAACCATCAACATTTGCAGTTATACCATATTGAATATGCCATACGTACATAAACAAAATCCAGGATCATTTTATTATGTAGATTTGATCCCAATTAAGAAACCACTTGTCTCCGTTTTGCCATCAGCGCTTCTTTTTTTTCTCACCTTTGCCACAGGACAAAATATTGCATCGTTGCCAGCTGGGAGGGCGAGGCCTCCACGTGCAGTGATGCTCATGTGTGGCCTTTCCAGTTCGACAGTGCGCGCAGGTCACCTGGCGTGACTGGAACCCGTGGCGTCCACAGGTGGCAGTGCACTGCGTCCACGGCCCGACACGCCAGTGAAGGGCACAGACCTCTGTGGAGCAATTCCTCAGGGAACTGGGCCTACAAAATACAAACAGCAGAGTATTTCTGACGTTTAGACCCTTTTTCTCCATGCGAGTGTCTTTGTCACATGAGGCATCGGTGTACATCAACATCATGTATCAACTGTTGATATGCAGTACACTCATTTTATGACATCCATATTTACCTGTGGAGTCCACTGCACATCCTGTAGGGGACTTTGGTGGCATTTGTGTCTTGACAGTAAACATGCCGTTGCTGTGTGGCCAAACTGGGACCAACGCATTGACCGTGACACTAAAAGAGGAATTACAAGCAAGTTCAGCTTTTAGTTAGAAAATACTTCCCTGCTAGTACCTACTGAACACTAAAACTATTTAATCTCATTTTGAAATGGGAACTATTATGCAAGACTGGGAAGTTCTCATAATATACTCAAGAAAGAGTTAACACAGAAAAAGGGTGAATTCCCTAACTACAACAAATATGTGGTTTCTAACAGATAAGGAAGGATTATCAGATTACCCCTTCAATCGTTTGGAAAACAAACACTAAAAAGTGGCAGTTGTTCTGCAGTCTTCAACTGTTTAACTACCATATACTTAACCGACACACAGCTTGTGAGGTCGATTGTGTTTTGCCCAAATAAACAGCCTGGACACAGTCCATGTAGACGTGTCGAGATGTGTTTGTGTGGTCAATGTAAGAAGACTCACTGCTCCCCAGTGGGTAGTGGCCCATCTGGCACAGGGCAGTAGGTTGCATAGCCTGGTGTCAGAGGGTCTTCTCCCTGTGCCAAGGCAGTGCTTGCCCTCCGCCTCTCTTGATCGGCCCTCAGCACCCTTCATGCAGCGGACCCTCCTGGTCTGGGACCCACCTCCACAATTGGCTGAGCATGGAGACCAAGGATCCATTCGCCACCTAATCAAAACCAAAGAGGAAAAGGGGACAATCATTTATAAAGTATTAATAATTCTGGTCCCAGAAGTACTCAGCACTAAAGTTTCTCCGTGTTGAGTCCTGGATGCAGACATGACACAGCACTTTAGGATAATGGAACATTTGAGTGAATCCCATGTAGAATTTTGGAAAGTGGCAACTGATCTTATTTAACATGACAAGCATGTAGTAGGAGCAAGATACCTGAGGGGGCAGGCTTGTCCATGGCACACCTCGGCCAACTGACTGCCGTTATTCCTCTCAGAACAAACAGGGCCATTTGCTCCCATACCATTACCATGGACACAGTTTCTTCCTTTGCCACCTGAAAAACAAAACAAAACAATATTATTGTGGTCTTGGGTATTGCAGAGAGCAGAATCTGTACTGTATATTCCTGATGATAGTAACAGTGTCCTCTGTTAATGTGTGAGGTTTTCACACCAGATAAAAAGAGATTAAAATACAGAGTTAAAGGTGCATTAGGTAAAATACATCCCACAGATCCCATTATCATGAGGGTCATTATTCTCAGTGTGTGAATTTGATGAAGTTGCGTGCGCCTGTTTTCTCAGCCAGTCTGTCCACGGCTAATCATGCATACTACTAGAACCATGAGCCTGATGTTTTTTGTGATCATTTATGACTTGAACAGGCGGCAACCTCCGGTTCTGATGAGTAAAGCAATGCGGAAGTGTCTTAAAACTTGCATTCTCTCTGCTGACCAGCAGGCGGCAACTCCTCTGATTGCAAAAAGAGTTTAATTGTATGGAAGTCTATGAGAAAATGAGCCTACATCTCACTTGATTTATAGCTTGTTTACATCGTAAACATGAGTTTGTGGTCTCAATCGCCAGTTTCATGTCAACACAGCATGATGTTCATTTAGTAAATTATGGTCCCATTTAGAGTAAAAAAGAACCTTGAAGCCGAGTATGCTTTAGGGCAGGCTTACTGTGATTAACAGGTCGCTGCTGCTACCAGAGCTGTGCACGGCGACTCTACGTCACTAGAGCCTTCAAAAGCGCAGTCAACAAACTGACTGTGGGAAATGCTGACTTGAGCATCTGCAGATTAATTCCCTACCTGTTATGTTACGATCCACAAAAGTTATGCATGATACGAGATGCATAAATCCCTGTACTCTAGTTAGGGGACTCTCCTAGTTCGGAAATAATACTCTACTTTCCAAGAATTATATATTCAAGTTCAATTTCCCTGTAAAGGCATTCACAGTATTTGCGGTTGCATTAAGAGTTCTCTAGTGCATCTATTAGACACAACCTTAAACTGAGTGTGAATTAAAAATATGACAAAATGCAGTTTGGACATTTTTCAGCACCTTTAAGCCCCTTTATCCTCCGTATAGATTAGGCGAATGGGGTGCACCCACTTAATCTTCCTTGAAACCTCTAATTGTTGTCGTATGGGGAGGAAAAGTGCTGGAGCATCAGGAAACACGGGAGGGGCGGTGCTTTGATGAGGATGCAGCGAGGTCACGACTGATCACGCTCAGAGGAGAAGAATGACAGCGCCGCTCGGAGACGACCCGAGTTGTGGCACGCTCGGGATATTCCCCATCAATGACTCAGCCAAATGAGCCACCAGGGTATGTAAAGGCTTACTATATATCTGTGTCTATGGTTAACTGGACTACGTGAGAGCATATTAGGACATACTCAATTTGACATGAGGTTAATACTGACTCTAATCTTTGTAACGTCATACTGTACAGATGAGAGTGCAATCGATTTTCTCATTTAACTCTCAACAAGAAAGCAAATGAACGTATTTCCTAAAATGTTGAAGTTAAATTGAGAACAATATTTAGATCAAAGCTGCTATTTCTCTACTTCTTAACCCTGAAGGAAAGTTCTAGACGTCTTGTGCTTCATTTTATTTTTCATGTATTATATTTTCAAAACCTTGGGACTACAACTTAAAAATAAAGTTGTGAGTGTTTGGACAATCCTCATTCACACAAGTGAACGTTTATTCAAACATTCAACAAGATGCTGCCTTTTTTGGATCTTACCTGTACTCTGCAGCCAAGATGAAAGAGAAGTAGATCCGAGACGGTTCCTGGCGGTGCATGTATACAGACCCTCATCCACCTTGCTTGGAGACTGGATCCTCAGTGAGCCGGTGGACAACAGGCTTACTCTGCCAACACAAAGACAACGCAACCACTGAATCAGCTACTTTGATACAACAAAACCTGCAGTTTTGTTAAAGCCTTTTGCACAGAAGATCATATTAAAGGGTAGTTCTTACCTGCTGTTGTAATGCAACTCTTTTCTATTCTTTGTCCATGTCAGGGATGGTTCAGGGTTCCCCAGTGCCTCGCACCTCAGCTCCAAACTAGTAACGGCTTTCTGCAGCAAAACTGGCACTCCCACATGAACTATCGTTTCAGATGACGGGACCACTCCAACCTTTCTGGGGCGTTGGATTATCACCGGGCTTCTTGGCCTGGACGTGTGGGCTTTGATGTTTGGATTATAAAGGAGGGGCCCTTGCGTGGAGGATTCCGCACTTTCCAGGGGATAAAGAGTGGACTCGTTGGTTTCACCTCGTGTCATAGTGAGGTCACTGAGCAACTGTACGATGAGCTGTTCCCCCAATGGCCCTCCGAGGCCTTCAGAGAGGCTTGGCATGATCTCATCTAGCCTGTGGGTATCGGCGATAAGTACGAGCAGGCTTGAAAGTTCTGAGCTTGCTCCATCATCCTCCAGGTTCGACCTGTTCTTTTCACTGGAGTGTATTTTATCAGCAGTGTCTTTTTTACTTTGGAGAGAGCCTTTCAGTTCAAGCAAATGCTCAACAATGTTGTCATATTGGTTGAGAGAGATGGGATGCTCCTGAAACCTTACCTCGGTTGAGGCCGCGTCTGACTGCCCAACCTTTTGTTGGCCACCTGCGAGGAGCCATGACTCTGGAACAGAGAGCTTCTGCTTGCTGCCAATGATCTGGAGGACAAAATGTTCTTGTGCCTGACCTGCGACACATGTGTATATACCGGCATCAGATGCACGAAGCTGCTGAATCTTTATGTATCCTGGTGATGTTACGGAGAGGTGTGGGAGGCCGACCAAAGGCTTTCCTTCCTTCAACCATCGGATGTGGCCCTTACGGAAGTGGCGGGTTGGGCAGCGAAGGACCACAGTTGTCCAGGGGAGCAGGTAGGCATAGCCTCCCACTACCAACTGTAACTTTTTGCCCTTCCTCCACTGGATATACACTTTTCTCTGGGCCAGTATGGTGGGATTGGGCTTGACAGAGTCTGTGATAAAATTAACAAGTGAATGACATAATTAGTCGGTGTAATCCATACTTCTGTGCATTTGTCATTTTCAAGTAATTTCCATTGATACAACTTAGCTACAAACAATAAATCAGTACAAATGGATCAAATAAAGCCAAACAGAGGGTCTCTTACTGTCACAGAGCCTGAGGGAGCATGGCCGGATTCTGGTGGGCCGGGCCATCAGGGAACAATTCTCCGGGTCTACGGTCCAATGTCCCCTATCTTCCCCTTGTTTTCTGCAGACTGCCTGTAGTCTCTGTATTCCATTTCCACAAGTCACTGAACACTGGGCAAATTAATGATATTATAAGATATGAAGATGAACAGACCCTTTATAATGTACATATGGCATTACATTTTGATTTTCAAAACTTTAAAAAGGTAGTTTGGTGCCTCGGGGAAAGCCTACCTGGGACCAGTCAGTTGTCACCCATTGAGGAGGGCACTCTCGCTTGGCACAGGGCTGCTGGTTCGCGGGGCTCTTGGAGGGGCAAAAGGTGTCAGGCAGCTCCAGGATGCTGCCATCTGCCAACCGCTGTTTGCACAGGACCTGCCTCCTTTGAAATCCACCACCACAGCTCTGGGAGCACTACAAAAATACAGAGGCGCCAGGGTTTACATTAGCAATATGTGCGGGGCCAAGCATTTATGCTGGTGAACTTCCTGAATGGGATCCTTTACCTGTCCCCAGTCACGTGTGTCCCACATAGGAGGGCAGTCAAAGCGGTTGCAGGCTTGGACAGGGCGGGGCTTGGGGCTCTGACAGTCTTCATCCCTCAAAACCTCAGTACGGTTGCTGTCCCGAGAAGGCCGGTGAGTGCATGCCACAGTGCGGGTCATCAGACCAACCCCACAAGTAGCAGAGCATGAACTCCACTCCCCTGTTTCCCACCTGTGAATAAAATGTTTATCATCAAATTACTGTAAGTCATGGCCAACAATCTACAACATTGACTTGAACCAGCTGGCTATCAGGTTACTTTCTTAGGATTTTCACCTCCATTTGCTCGTTAACTACACACATGTAAGTTTTGAATATTAAAAGGAGAGGATCATAACTTAGCTTCCCGCCCCCCCCCCCCAACTCCTAACCTGAGTGCAGTCAGAAGGAGTTCAGTCAGAGTGCTTGATGTTTGTACTTGATCCCATGAGAGGACACTCTTGCAGACTTATGAATGTGTAAATTCATCAAAGTAAAATTCATGAAAGTGAATACGAATGGAAACGAAAAGCGTGGTTCACGGGGTAAGATTCTGGCAAAGGAACATTAAATCTCCCACTGAATTTATTGATATTGGAGATATCCCTATGGCGTTACTTCTTCACACGCATCACATATATTCATTCATTCCAATCTTGAAAATGATGTGTCATGTGTCCAACTCATCGCTATACCTTTAAAAGCATCTTAAAGCTTTGGCTTTTGACCAAGATGGCAGCGATTTTACTTCTTGCTGGACAAATTATGTGATATTTTAAAGCTATTCATATTTACTCAAGGGTCAAGGGACTGAGGCGAATTGGAAATGAAGCTGGTTTCTGGACCGGTACTATACTCAAAGCCAGATCCTCTGGCCGTTTCCCTTCCGAGGGAACAGTATCCAAAGAGTGTAGCTTAATATGGGAGGGTGAGGAGGCCTCAGGGAGGGAGTAAAGGGCCAAAGGAAACAAGTCCAATACAGCGTTTGTTGTGCCTGAAAACAAGACTCAAGGCCTGGAAAAACAGACAAGGGCAGGCTGCAAGCCTCTGGGTTTTCTGACAAGAGTGTGAGTGGTGGAACACCGACACTGCGCACGGTGTTAACTTTAAACGTGTGGCCTACCACAAAACCCACTCACTGTTTAGCCATGGTTTAGTAACATCAAACATCAAGCCGTTATGCTGTTTGACCTTTCAGGCGTTTCATTTCGGTGAATTTAATTTGCTCATTGTTTATCCACTGTATTCTAAATTGATGCCCACTGGATGATAGCTGGATAAAACTAAGAAACTGCAACACTTGGACTAAAACTTGAAAAGTGTAATCTACGTCTACATTCATTCTTAAATCCTCATGCTGTGACAGCAACCTACTTATTAAGCACTAACATCATAGTTAGGATATACGTGGTCCCCAGAGGACACTTCATGATCTTTCTTCATGCATCATCTTAGGCTATACATCAACTTTGTACACAACATATTTCACAATGTAATGGGCAGATTGACATCAAGTTTGGTGAATAGATTCATGCTCCCAAGGGGACACACCTTTTTTTACTGATGATTATTAGGCAAATTTGTCACTTTGACACTAAAGGTCATTCCTCATACAAAAAGTAGAAGCTTTTTGTTAGACTAGCTTTTTAAAATAGTATGCTAACCACAGCAGCAGAGGCATCCTACATTTCTGAGCTAAAACAGCCAGTGAAAAAAAACAACTTCTCCTAGGACAATTTCACATGTCTGCCATATTTTGTGCCTGATTCTGACCAGGTTCCACCAGCTGTCCCTATGGCTTCATTTCCTGCTTTCAATAATACAACCATCCATCTCCGTCACTCTGCTTCAGTATCACTTAGACCCAAGTGGCCTAAATTTGGATTTAATTGGCCCAAGTGATTTAAACTGAGACGGATAATGTCGTGGATTAGAAGGATTTGAATCGTTTTAAACACAACCGGTGATTAATAGAGATTAATTGCTTCAACAAAGTGCGATGTGTGTTTTTTTGATAGTCTGGAAGTTAAGCAGTTCCAGGTGTAGGACCCAGGGGTGCATCACAGCTCTGGAAAAAGGCACATTAATGTCCCAACTCCCTTTATTGCATATTTTGCTGGGTTACAGTCTTGGCAGACTAATCAATAGCAGAGCCAGATTTCAGTCCTGTTTTTAATTAATATTTTGTTCTTGAATGCAGCCAAACCTATTTTTTCCCAAAACACAATTCCTCCTCATTTTTACAGCATCCATCAATCAAGCGTATTTTAATGTCCATGCACTAACTATTTGAAAACAATGTCTGAATGATAATGATGGACAGTATGTCTGTGTTTTACCGTACCTGGGTGGGCAGGGCTGAGTTTTGCAGTCCTGCAGGAGTTGCGGGGGACGACTGGAGCTCACACACAGGCTCTGGTCCGCTGCCTCCCTGGTCTGCTTGTTCAGGCAGATGACCACAGCCTCCTGCACACCTGGGATTAGGCGGCAACAAGCAATCACAAGGGATGTTCAAAGAACAATGAAAGAACCACCTAATGTGCAGGGTTCGATCAGAAGTGCTTTTATATTTTATATATATTTTAATATCGCTGTACCGTATCTTCTTAAAAAGAATGCCCAAAAGGGTTAGCAAACACATAATGTTCTTGTTAGGCATCTCTTACATATTGATGATGAAAGCAAGCAAAACGAGCATCAAAACAGTACAGCTGGCTGCTTAACTTTTAAGGGTGTGATGTCAGGTCACGTTAAAAGCAACATAGCATAAATCACTGAGTCTGCTTCGAACGTTGGGGACAATAACAGTGAAGCAGGCACTTCAAATGCCACAGTGGTGTGATGGTCCACAGGAGTGCAGCCCTCAGGGTGTGTATGTGACATCTGATCCCACTCTGTAATCATCGCCGAATGGGAGTTTGTTTGGATTTGGGTGAGCGCGCGCACGCACGCACGCACGCACGCACGCACGCACGCACAAGCCTACGCCCATGTGCAGAAATTAAGTTACACTTGCACACTTTAGACGTTAACACACAGGCTTAGATGTGGAGGTGGGGAGATTAAAGTGGGGCTCAACGAATGTCGGCTGGATGTTTAGGGAAGCTATCTCTGTCTGGCACGGTACACATTGAGAGTCGGTGACGTATGACCTTTAGGGTTAAAGCGTCTATTATCATAAAATACTATAGAACTTACTTCCACTTCAAAGCACACACTGGCATGGCTTCTGTCGTCCACTGACATAAGGTCACCGGTTACTGCTGAGACATTTCTGTTTAATACAGCTACTGGGACAAACTCAGTGACACTGACGGAGTGTGGTTTGCCTTCAGGATTTACACTGACTGTAAGCAATATCATTTATTTTCTGTATTTATACATTAATATCATTGTTAGCGTTTAGCTCAAGGCACCACTGTGCCTTAGTACAGACTCACAGAGCTGCTAGTATAGTTATAGACTATTAATCTCGTTAACTTTTCACCTTTGCATTCCCATCATTTCTTATACTACATATTTACTCTCTCATATTACAAAGGGCAATTATGATCCATACCTCCACCACAACTCTCTGAGCACTCCGTCAACCCCTCATACTCCCAGTCGTGCAGTTCCTCTCTTTCGGGTGTCTCCCCCTTCCCCTTCTCCTCCTCCTCCTCTTCTTCCTCTTCCTCCTTTGCACTTTCCTTTCCTTGGCCCAAAACACCAGAGCAGGGAGTGCGGTAGCATGGCTGACTCGTGGCATGCTTCACCCCCTCACACTCGTCATCCGGCAGGTCAGCAACCGTTTGTGAGAAGGAGAGCAAGACCTGGCACTTGACCCTCCGTCGCTGGGTCCCGGCGCCGCATGTCCTGCTGCAGGCCTGCCAGGGACCAGGGATGAAGCTGGAGAAGAGAGGCAACAGGTTTGAGAAAACATTAATGGGATGATTATTCCCACACAAAAAAAATATAAACAAGATGCTGTTTATTTCGTTAGTTTGCTTCACATGCCTATGTAAGACGGCATGGAAAGGCAGTTCCATTTTGGATTTGAAAAGGACTGTTTCCAAACCAGCAGTGCCGACTTGAAAGTATTAAGAAAGAAAGTCACAGGTTTATTGTGCATTCCTCCTCTTTACAGATTTTTGTCATTTGCTGCTAAATTCATAAACCCACAGAGCATTTATGAAATCCTGTCCTGCTGTGGTGAATTGTACAGCTGTGAAGCATTAGGATCAGTCATTCTTGGATAAACGGCTTTCATGCTCATCCTTCGTCATCCCAAAGAACGGATCAGAGAAGGAAATACTTGTAGATCATTGGCGTTCATGGATGCCTGAAGGCCATTCAAGATTGGGTGTGAGTTAGAGCCCAGAAACTGAACAGTCACCTCTCCGTGGCTCTGGGAGAGTTTAAAGACATAATACAACTGGAAAGTGTGAGACAGAGAGATGTTTGAATCCCTCTTGATCTTCAGGGTTGGCCAAAATAAAAAGCGTAGTTCTGATGATTCAGCGATGTTAAGATCTAATTAGAAAGATCATAGACCCTGTACCATTTCGCCCTTGTGTTCATAAAGTGCTTATGTAGCAGTGGGAGTATTCTCATTATGGAATAAGCAGATATAAAGACCAAACAGCATTTGTACCACATGGTGCACCTCCTTTGCAAACAGTTATGCACCTGTTCTCTGGGTTAGTAAAACTACCAGCGTACATTATCGTGTACATGTGTCTCCGAGAGGCATCTATTAACATGGCAGCCTGCACCAATGAGCAGCATTCTTCCTTGGTTAAGCAGTCTGACCACAACACAAGAGCACCCTGCTGTTTTATAAGATACCTGAATAAAGAGCTCATAATTACAGCTCTGTATGACTGCTCAAGGACTCGTTGGGTTTTGGACAAACAAATGAATCACCCGGTAGTTAGACCTTGGAACAAAGTCAACAAGCGAACCCACAGACATGTTTATCTTAATGAGTTGTTAAACTACATCTGTCGGTTCAAAAACAGTCCTGATTTCATTCATGGACGGACATTTTTGTGATATCCGCCAAAGCCCCACGCTAAATCATATCAATTCAATTTGCATCAATGGAAATATCTTCTTTCCTCATGGTGGTGGTAAGGTGAAAAAATAAAGCTCTTTTGGCCAAGCTGTGGAACATATAGGTTTAATCTCTCACGAAGTTGCACAGCGGTTGGCTCAGGGCAGGCATAACTTCTGGCAATGGAGGTGCAATAAGTCTAAACACAGGAATTTCCCTCTCTTTCCGTTCACATCCGTAACCTGGCCCCATATGGTAGGCAGATATTGTTGTTGGCTAGTGAATGACTGCATATTATACACAGATATTTATGTGCTTTTGGAGGAAAGGCGTGTTTTTTTGTTTTTTTTCAACAGAGCAAAGTCATATGCTTTGGCAATTGCCTCTCTCTCTCCCTCCCACTTTCTCGCTCCAAAGATAAGTCACAGTAACAGATGTTTTGAACTGGCTAACATGGTCGCTAATACAAGTCATGCGAGACACTGGGTAGAGTCCAAACATTGTCCACCTTCAGAGGACAGCCTTTATTAGTCAATTGATGTGGGACGAGAACATCTGGAACATCTGAGGCTTACTGAGGTAATGCTGGTAGTCGGTGACTGAACGGTCCACTGGATTCCAAAAAGATGTTTTTCCTCTTTCACCATCAGCTTCCCCCTTTTTACCTTACATAACCTCATACGGCATACATTACTTAGATCCGATGATACACACCTTCACTGGAGCAAAACGGCAAACGTCTAACTTTTACTCATCTTGACAAAACCGTCCTGCCATTGTATCAGACAAACATTTGGCATACCCAGGTGTACAAATTTGTGGGCATGCATGCATATGTGGGTGCATAGTACTCACGTTGGCTCCTCAGTAACGCTGATCTCCTCCTCCAGCTCTATGGCCTGCTTATGCCACACAGGTTTTGCCTCAACTGGGAGCGTATCTAGAGAGAAATCCCCATCAAAGGTTGAGCATCACAAGAGAAAGTTTACTTTAGAAATAAGTAAGTTTGACAAAAAAAGCAACAATCTAGACCCACCTATGGACTTATAACAGGGCACAGTCACCAGGCACTCCTCTTTGATGTGGGGTTTGGTGGTGGGGTTACAACCTCCAGCATGGAGTCCTCTGTGATCGATGCATAACACCACCCTGTAGCGCAGACCCTGACCACAGGTCACCGTGCACTGGTGGTGACAGGACAGTTCAGGAGATATAGTCTATGAATCACTGAATAACTGACAATCATTTTCACACACGGATAGGAGAGAGTGTTAAGTCGTACTCCTACGGTTACATCTCTTTGCTTGTGTTTGACAGAAAGCCCTTGACTCAAGGAAAGTAAAGAAAGAGACCTTCCAAAATCCCTGCAGCTCTCTGCTCAGGAGTGAACTTTGTGTATCCGCTGCCAAAACAAGCATTTAAAAGGCAAGTTCACAAGGAAGAATGTACTAGGTAAACAGCATCCTGGGTTTTCAGAGGGCCACACATTTGACTCCTTGCGCCTCTGCTTGTGCCTGTATAACTGGCGAGGCTGAAAAAAATCCCCACGAGGAAGTTCTCCGGGATATTTATGGTTAATGTAACAGCAACTCTGCCAAATAAGTAAGCTAACCAGGAGTGTTAGATGATCCAGAAGCACCACACCGATAAGCCGGATGTTTTTGGCAAAGAGAGTTTTCAGAATACGTGCTGTTGACTTTGGGGTTTTAATTAAAGCAGTGCTACTCAGAGTCACACAGTAAGGTTGTGTTTGAACTTAAGCAGTTGCAAGTGTTCCTGTCACGTTAGAAAATGCTGACGGATACCCGAAGAGACGACAAAATCACAGGTCTGGTTGTCCGTGGAGTATATTTTTGTTTCTCAACAAGACGATTAATCATACTTTTTTTTACTTCTTCTAACTCCACAGGTTAATTAAGACCCACTGTGGGGGTTCACAGACTGACTTCACCAGGTGGTATAACAGCTACAGAACACCGAGACACATCTATTTACATTTGGTTACTAGACATTTCTAGCTGAACTTTCTAAACATGTCTAGTTTTGTGGCGCTTTACACCGCCTCGCAAAAGAACAACTGAAATCAATTAAGGCTCAGCGTGACCTTTGAATTTCCCTTTCTTGGCCATATATTTGTTGTGTGAAAATAATAATCTATGATAAGAATTCATAAATACTTTAAAGATAAATGTCCAAAAGACAGAATTTAAAAAAGGGCACCTACGGGGGACCACTCCTGTGCCAGCCAGGTGGGGCAATCGAAGGTGTTGCAGGGCTGCAGGATAGCTGTCTTGGGGGAGTAGAGACACTTCCACTCCTCAGCGGTAGTGATGACACCCTGCATGTCTTCCTCCACACAGGATACTGAGCGACTCTGGATGCCCCCGCCGCAGGAGGTGGAGCAGGCGGTCCACGGACTGCTCTCCCATCTGACATCAGAAAAGCTCAGTCAGGAAGTCACTCATGGGGACTGGTAAATGTTAGAATTTGTGTTGCTGTGTCACTATTTCACCTCACAGTTGCGAATACATACCGAGGCAGGGGTTGGTACAGGTCATACGGCATAATTTGCTTGTAGCCTTCACTAAAAGGGAGAATCGATTACGGAAATGAGGATTTAGAATTATACAAGCTGCTGTTGACTTATCGTGAACATGGAGTTCAAATTGTTTCGTTGTTTTTAAAGAGGTTTGTCTCTCACCTGGCCAGGCAGGGGTCCATGTTGCACTCCTGGAGTTTGGGTTTAGGTTTGACGTTCTCTGGGTAATAATGGCAGTACTGATCCACAACCACCCGGCTACTCCTGAGGTCAAAGCACTCTGCTGAGGTTAGCTGGTACCCTACAGACAAAAAAAAAGTCAGTGTATCACAGCTTTCTTGGTACTTAGTCCACAATGTGAGCAGTGCACCTCCATGTTTACCTCCACCACACATGACGGAGCAAGGGAAGAAGTCGGTCTCTCTCCAGCGGTGGATGATGGGCTGGTAGTAGATGTACTGGACCACACTGTCTGCTCCACTGGCAAACTGCACCTACGGAAACAGTGTTCATGGTGTGACCACTACATCTTTTTACTACTATGCTCTTCAGCAGGGCTTTCATTTCATCATAATACGCCTGAAGGAGGATGAATGCAACCAAAATGAGTTGAACGAATAGTTTGACATTTCGGGAAATGCACTAAAGTGTTAGTCCCACGTCATTGTGTGTTTCGACTGGGTGAGGAAATAAAACATTGTTGACACGCAGCTGCAATTTCTGGTTTAACAGAGCCCTTTATGAACTGCAGCCAAGCTCGTCAGCAGCTGAGTAACACAGCAACGGCCCGTCGTTATCTGATATATAGCTACATGTAGATAGTGTCATGTTTGGTGTGGGTTTGTGTCGGAGTCTTTCCGCCCCCTAGTGGCCAATGCAGCTTCCATATGCATCAAGAAAATAAAATGGCAGGTTTTAGCAGGATAAGAAATGTCTTTATTAAATAAAGAACACAGACTGTAGCTATAGAAATTAGGCCATTCGCGTCACATGTTTTGTGTGTGTGTTTTGTTAAGGACATTTTATACAGTGTCCTAAATATTTCAGCAACATTTTTTCTTCTAACCTCATGCTTCTCAACCATATTGAAAAAAATTGCCCAAAGCCAGATTATACCTTCAGCACATATAAGTCGAACTCCGCTGCCACTCACTCACATGTTTACAGTGGAGAGACACTGTCTGGCAACTTTTTATTGTGATTTTCCATTCGTCCAAATTTTTTCCAGCGCTGCGATATGAATTGGCTGTTTGCCTCATAACAGATTAGAAAATGATGCATTTATAGCCTCTCAGATTTGTGTGTTTATGAGGGGGGAAGTTTTCACAGGCGTTTCCCTGTCCGCGGCCTGTATGGTTTTTAATGTCCACTCACTGGCCCTGGTCTGAGAATGTAAGTGTGTGTGCGTGTGTGTAACACCTACACATACACACAAAATGTATGCTCCACTACTGTATTTATGAAGTGAATTTATGTTGTGTTATGTTTTAGGACCGACATTCCACCATGAATCAAATACAAGTTTCAGAAATTTAAGTTGAGGGAAACTGAAGAGTCAGGTGATACTACACAAAGTAAACTGAATGAAAATATTGAGTGGAGCAGCTTTAAGTCACTTGAATCGATGTATCTATGCTCTTACTTTGACTGTGAAGTCGGCTCCAAGGGGGCCGATGATTCTCAGGACCTCCTTATCCGAAAGTTTCTGGTAGTCCAAGGTGGTGTTCTCCAGGTGGTATTGCCCTGACTTATCCAAGATCAGCTCATCTTTAACCCCTTGTAGAGTCTTACTCTCCACGTCTAAAGAAGAAATAAAGCAGATAGCTAAAGCACAATGGACACATCAGTCCCAATAGTATCCACAAAATTCTAAATCTGTCTATGATAAATGATAGTCAGAATTTCTTGTCTACATTTTTCATCATTATCGTGTCGAGTGGAATGAAACATTAAATAAAAGAAGATGCGATTAAAATGGCGAGACACTGAAAGGATGACTTTCATTTATCACAGACCCTCCGTCAGATCTAGTTCCATAAAGAACGTCGACTGGCTGCTGCGTTTGCAGGCAAACAGACTCTCTTTGTCACCGCGACAGGGTATAAGGTAGGTTTTAAGCAAGCTTTTCCACTGTTTGACCTCACTTCAACCCTGGCCTAACAGGGTCAGCGTAGGCAATTTAAACAAAAACAATGGGGGAAACGCAGGAACAAGCAGTAACCAGCAGCAGCCATCATGTGCGGACAGATGGTTACAATTTAAATGCACCGTGGCCAAAAAGAACGGGGGAAATATTTCATGAAATATGAAATATTCGTCCATTCAGAAAAAGAACCTCTTTCGGCCTGGCTCGGGAAACAATCTGTCAACTAAAACGTGGAGCAAAGGATAGGTAAAGGGAGATGGACCATTTTGTTATCGATTTGATCCAGTAGGGAGTTTGATGCCAGTACTTTTACATCAGTGATATTTGCTGGAAGCCTTAAACCTTCTCAGAGCCAGGGCAGAGGGGAGACATAAGTACCTCCCCTGTTTATTCTGCCCTGAGCTACTTTTATCACCAGTATTTATGAGAGGGCCTAAAATACAATATATTTTAGAATAAAAGGTTAATTTTAGTTTGTTATTTGGGTGAGATATTCATTACAAAATGTCAAGCAAGTATAACACATATAATGAAAAAGTAATATTGTTGTTGAATCACAAGTCTTTAAAACATAACATGACCTGCAGTAGAACTCCCAGAGCACATTCAGAATACTTGTGTTTAATGTGCAGGTATTTGGAAATAAGAAACACTGCCAAATATAAATATCATGTCCAACTGTTTGGGATGGAAGGGCACCCTAGACCTACCAGGACTTACACAAGTGATCCGGGCCTTTCAGGACTAGACGTACATGACGACTCTTATAGGGGACGGCAACAACTGTGTCCTCAGCTTCAGAGAGACAGAAGACAAAGAGAGGAAAATAGCATACAGTATCGATCAATACTTATAGGAATGCAATAAAGTCATTGACATTGTTTTTGCGTCAGTCAATAAAACACAATACAGTAATTGTAATTTATATTAATTCAAATAATATTGCAAATTAATTTGAACAGAAGAATCACATTACTCCAGTGATTTTAGCATTGCACTTCCATCAAGTCGGGGGACTTGCGAGTCTCTCTGATGATGTATAAAAAAAACTGATGACATCACTATTACTTTATCAGGGATTATTCTTTTCAGACTTGACAACATCACTGTATTCAATTTAAACAAACTAGATCGAACTAGGATGAACATTTACTTTTTCCTGAAGCATGCTGGGATTTGTAGTGTCCCCGCACCAGTCTGCAAGATGAACCATCTCCATTGCAGACACCGCAGTTGTCCTCCTTTGCTGTGCTCCCCAACTCATGATCACATCCTACAATCTATAATACATAGACAAATACATGAACATAAACATTCCCCCAGCATTGTACAGCAACCGGATTTCAAATTTTCAATTAAGATGCTCTGCAAAAAAAAAAATAAAATGAAAAGAAAAGAGGAAGAAAAATTGGACAAGTACTCATGTTGGTTTCTTTAGACCTTTAAAAGTGAGTTTATTTAAGAAAATGTATTCCTTCATACCAAGTAAATGTTATAATCAATTGATCAAAGCAACCCTCTGGGTTCTTCCAGATTCATACCAGATCTATTGTTTTGTATTTCTAAGATAGCATGACGTATCCCCTGGGAGTTGATCATGAGTTTTTCCAAAAATGTTCCCCAATGTTTTTTATCAAACATTATCTGCAACCATCCGTAGTTGATTGATGGAGTTTTCTGCGATTTCTGTCGGTAAGACGAAACCAAAACCGCAGCGTGATTCTAAACATGGCAAGAGAGTCAATTCAAATCCTTTGCGTGTCTTTGCAGACACACAACGCCTTGGGAAGTAATTTCATTCAAGCGGAAAAAAATGCGTTGTAAAGTATTTCCTGGACTGTCAGTCAAAGGCCCCCAATCTCAAATATTACTCTCAATGGGACTTCATTTGTAAAGCAGATGGCATATGACGTTGTAACTCAATCTTCCATAGGTTTTTTGGATTATTTACTTTTTGGCTCTTGAATCCAAATACACTGTAATGTACGTAACATGTGAGCCAGTAAATATATTGTTGTGTTTTGTTGATTATTAAACAAAATATATTCTAATTTAGAAGGAAATTCGCTTTTACGGGCGTATATGGTCGAGATTTTCTATGATTTTCTCAATTCGGAGATTGGAAGTCACCAATTCCTTCACTGGCGCTTACAGTTTTGGGCAAAATAAGTGTTTTGTATTCTATACGTGTATCCATTTGTATTCTATATTCAACTGGATACATCCAAAGAATCGTATCTGCAAAAAAAGACTAAATATTTTGAGTCTACAGGTCTATATTTGGCTTCATATGATAGATAAATTATAAGAAATAAACAATAAAGCTCTCGAATTCTTTCTCCTACCTGGCAGACTCCGCTGATACACATGTCCAAGGACTCGGTGTAACAGCGTGTCCCGTCCAGCACCTTGGGCGCCAGCTCCATCACAAGGCCCGAGCCCTTGGCTTTGCACTTGAGAGCGCAGGGGTTGTCCGGGTCATTGTACACAGGCAGCCACTCGTGGTACTGACCCTGGTATCGCACGTCCGCATGAGCTGAACACTGCTGAGCACGGAAATCACCTGCATCTGGAGGGCAATCCTGAGGGTCAGAAAGACATTTAGCCATATTTCTACAATTAATGCGAGGCACAGCACTATTGTAAATTGATGTGGTGGAAGGATTGCTGAAACTCAACATTGTGATCGTGATCATTAAATTAGAGCTGAACTAGTTTAATGACACCCTCCCCCCACATAACTTCTCACTTGCTCTGTAACAATAGGATCCTAAATCACTAAATTCCACCTCTTACCATAAACATTAATCATATTTGCACAGTTCCACCACACAGAATTCTCAATCACAACTTGCTCAGTTTAATTCAATTAGAAAAACACATGACAGCCCTACTGATATCCATTACATAAAGATGAGCTCCCTGAACTTACCACATTACTGCATGTGCGATATTTGATATTCTGCCCTTCACAGGTCCTGCGGAAGGATTAGAAATGAACATGTGGGTGAGGTAGTAAATGATAAAAACAAACCACAATGCACACCAATAATCTTTGCCCGAGGCAGCTGGTATTCCAACCGTTGACTGATCGTTTTTTGGGAATTGCAGAGCAGTGATTGTGACAGTGATTAATTCACACAATGTGACGACACATAAATACAAGGCGAGTTAACTGATAACAGATCAAACTAAAATTACAAAGAAGTAGGTTTGGTTACTGTAATAAAGCCATTATTCTTTTGGATAAAACAGGAAAAATGAAAACTTCATGAAATGGAGGGGGCAAAAAGATAAATAGGAAAAAATAACAACAACAATAATTCTCATTTGTCTTTGTGATCGGTCTTTAAAGAAACCATTGCTTTATAAACCAGCAGTACTGCACATGCATTAGTAAAGCAGACACAGTAGAGCCCTCCGAGCTGTGTCTGCTGAACAGATTGAAGCAGTTTGAATCAAGACTCTCTGCATGACAGTCTGCAGTGTCTTCGCCCCAAATTATAGAGCTAACCACTTATTGAAAATTAGGATTCCTTTGTGCTTTGATGCTGAGTTATGATGAACTATTGATGGTGACTATGATAGGGCAATTATTCAAGACCCCAGCGGGAGCTAATCAAAGGATATTCTTTTGAGTTTGGGAACTTAAGAGGAATTCCAGTGTCATCGGCCCTTAGCTAATCTGGAATCATGATTGGAGGCAACATCGCAGAGTTTGGACTCACGGATGGACGAGGGCTCAAGGATTTTTAACAATATTATTCCAGAGAGCCGAGGGAGTGGATGTGAAGTGCGTGGCATGGCAAGAACATTAGACCCTGTGATGTACCCAGACAGTCCCTTCTGCCAAGCCAAACAGGTCATAGGGCTTGGACCCAAACAAGAGACTTTCAAAGACCAAGAGTTGAGAGACAGGTACCAAAGATCTGGATCAGTAGGACGAGCTATATATAAACTTTAACGTTAAAAAAAAAGAGGCAACGGGAATTAAATGAATCTCCATTTTCATTTCCTCTCGACTTTGGAAGCTACAAAGTGGAGGCTAAGCAGAAGGAGGGCTGGGGCTACACATTCATCATGGCGTCATCATAGGTTGGGGAAAAACGACTCGAGCACACAACGCATAACTCACAGGCTATGACCCTGCTCTGTACTGCCAAATATGCACAAAAGACACAAAGACAGTACAGAGAGTTTGCTCATCAGCTAAAACTACCATGTGGCATGCCAATGACATCCTCAGACAACAAAGGAACTCAAATCTGTTGTAACCATGAAAAATCTTAAAATATTGGATATGCAGTCAAATTCGCTTGGCTCATAATGCCCATATATATATATATATATATATATATATATATATATATATATGTCATCAACTCTTCTCGTTAGATTGAAAGTAATTGCAACCAGCGTTCCATAACCTTTGCCATAAGATTGATACACTTGAGGCGAGCGGGCACATGAAAATGTGGAGATGGTAATGGCTGAAATATGCTTTTATACTGTGAGCTCTGCTCTTGATCAATTTAGGAAATTGAGAGCAGTCAGGCCATCAAAGAAAGGTAACATGAGTTTGAGAAAGATGAAGCCACAGCAGAAAAGGGGTCTACTTCTTTCCTTTGTCAGTCAGTCAGTACAACTTTTTAGTCCACAGCGAGATGTCTCGGCGACTATTAACCCAGATTTTATTGAAATTTGGATGATATGACCATGGTTCCCAGAGGATGAATCCTATGGGCTTTAACGATCCTCTGAACTTTCATCTAGCACCACCAGCACATCAAAGTTTTAACTTATCCACAAGATGGATTGGAACAAAATTTCATACGTAAATTCCCAGATCCCAGATGACGTATCCTAGTGAAGAACTGACATACTAGAGCCGAAATATATCAAGAAGTAATTAGATGGAACGACAATTGGAACTGACATGGCCCCCTCTGAATTTCTACATTTCAAAATGTAAAATGATTTTGGATTCTGCAAACACAGATTGTTGTTGTTGGTTCTAACATGGGCTCAGTCTCACTGTAGAGAAGCTCGCTGTTTTTAGCACAGAGGGTGGTCCCCCATTCTGTGAAGTAGCAGACGTAATCAAGGTGCCAGGCCAAAGTTAATTAGAGCAACTTAATTAGTCATTGCCTTGAAGAAAAATTCACTTTTAATGATAGACTTTAAACACAGCTGTGGCATGGCTTTGGTGAAATACCAAAATGCCACAGTCATTTAATGCCACAGCCTATAATTTCAGCTAATCAGTGACCCAATTAAGAGTAAAAACATCCTTATCAGCAGTGAGAAGTTATTTGCAACTCCACTGAACTTGTTCCTTGTCCCTAGGACTGCTTATCTTTATTCGCTTATCAATGGGGTTCATGACTCTTTCAATTATTTTAACAAAGTCAAAATAAAGTCAAGGCTAGCCTCTTTTTATCAAAATAAATGACAAAAAAAAAAACCTCACTGACGTTTCTGCCAACCACGAGCCTCCTAAAACAAAATTGAGCGGCGCTTTCTCTTGCCCGCGACACTCAATCCATATGTCCACACATGCTTCAAAATGCTGTTAATAATGGAGATTGTGATCAAGTGAAGGGACTAATGTGGGCCGGGCGATCTGTGTTTAGTCTGTACTCTCCATGTGCCCTTTTGGGACATTGTCTAACTCCTGTGCGTTTCTGCATTAGCATCAGGTCCCTACTTGTGTGTGAGCGTGTGCGTGTGTTTAAAGGTCAGGAAGTTGGAGTGGTTTGGAGGGTGTTAGAGGCCCGTTTCCAGCCTCTCTTTCCAAAGAGTCACACAAACATACACACACACACAAGGGGCCTTGTGTTGTGCTTTTTAATGACGCCGTTTGATCTGCCACCCGGTTCCTGGCTCCTGCTCTGTCATTCCCACGCAACAGCAGGCTGAGGTGGGACGGAGAGTCCTGCCATTACCTCAAGAAGCCCCTACGTTACTGCCACTGCCAAAGGACATACGAGTTTGTAAACATACCCGCCAGGACTTACATGAGCATGTATCTCCCCACACACACACACACACACACACACACACACACACACACACACACACAGCCTACAGCCCATATGGAGCTCAAACCCCAAACACCTCTTAACACGTCAATTGCTTTTACAGTCAGTAGCATTCTGGGGTGTGCCTGACCACAGAATTCTGGGCAAGCCGAGAGAAATGGCTGCTGCTGATATCATCAAATGAACTCCTCAAAAAGCTGTTGACCTCAATGTTTACAGTGCAGCACATGGGGGGTCTGGCACTTTGAGTTTGAGGTTTCGACGGCCTGAAGCTTTTTAGCCTGGCTTCCCAGCATTAGTGCGGACAGAGTCATGGTTATTCAGAGTACATCTCCATTGTGACCTCAGGTATGATCGGCCCTGTTTTGTCAGTGTGTCTTTGGACAGATTGTAATGTTTTATGATCTCGCTGGCTGCTCCTGGAGCTCCCCCCCCTGAAGCCCCATACAGTGAAACAGAGGTGAGTTTGGCAGCAAAGCTCACTGGCTACTTTAGTAAGAGAGCAATGCATTCGGGGAACTGTAAAATAGAGGAATGCAGTGAAGTCACCCTGCAGTTATTTCCCACTCTATAAATGTGACAGCATTGCTATGGAAAACATACCCTCTCGTTCCGTCTTTCTCCTTTTTTTTTTTCCTCTCTCTCTTGTTCCTCAAATCCATTTGTAATTGACCACTTTGCCCAGTACACTTGGCTTCGAGCTTTAATCTTGAAGCCCACAGGGTTAGCTTGAAGCCTAACCAACCGGGTGACTTTGGCAACAGGATGAAAGGACCGAGAGGTCCAAAGTGCAAGTTCCAGGTTCGTCCCGAGACTTAAGCCGAGATGATGAGCAGTGGGAATCCAACCAATGTGGGTTCATTGCTTGCAGAGCCCAAAGTCCATCACAGAAAACACTTACTAAAAGTGACATGTATCGATTGTTATGCTTACATTAGTTAAGAGACGTTACAAAAAATCGGAAACCTATTGTCACGGATGAATTCATGAATCAGGCTCTTATGGCCGTCTATACAGTTTTAGAAAGGTGGATGGGCAAGTGATCTCAGGTGACCCCTCAGGGCTATTTAACATTCACATGTATTTTGAGCGCTTCCATTCCAGCCCATGGGAATGGAGCAATTGGTGAGATTTAATCACACTATTAGGGACGCTGTCTGGATTTATTTGGCAGAATGACCGCGAGCAACAGAAAAAGAGCACCCTCCCCTCCCCCCCTCCTGCTTCCCACTCTTGAATCTTAAAGCCATGATATGGCACTTTAATGGAAACCAGTCCAACCCCAGTCAGGACTTTGCTCTTTAAAAGATGAGATTACCTCGGATAGTGTTTGAACACACGCTTACAAATATTACATAGCATCATCCTTTGAGTACTGCAGTCGTAAATTTCAATGTATTACGTATGTCTCTGGTTCTAATAATAGCAATTCGTGGGAGACAATTAGAAATTTTACCAGTAAAAAAATAATCACTGAGAATACTTTATGGTAGGTTCTATGGGATAAGGGTCAAGGGGACTCCAAAAACGGATACATTTTGGCCAGATATTACACATTACAACTTTAAATACTGATAATTAAGGCAGACAATGTTGAAATAAGTTGTTGTTTGTTCATAAGCCATTTCATTTTCAGAAATCTATGCTTCCTCACAGTACATGTAGTTTCAGACCAACTCCGATCAATGCATCAGATCGTGGCCATATTTTCCATGCAGCACCCCTATCTCAAATATGCGATGTTGTAGGCATTAGCAGGAAATGTGTTGTACCTCATATTGCAGTATGGAAAAACACGAGCATAACCCATGGTGTTGCCCACTACATCGTCACACAGAGTTTATATCAGGCTTTAGGGTGAGAAGTGGCTGATAGGCGGCCTTACTTGGAACTGAGGCATCGTCTGAGGGAGTATGAGGCGCCTCCTGCACAGGTCCGGGAGCATTCACTCCATGAGCCCCAGGCGTCCCACAGAGTGTCTCTGTCCTCTTCTGAACGGGCCGTCCGCGAGCTCTACACACCAGGAAAGGAGACATGACTTGAGCAGAAGCGAAGGAGGAAGTGAAGAGTTTGTGCACACGAGTGATCTGTCACGGACATCCTTGTGCAGTTTCCAGTCCATCCATTCAAACCAATGCTACGTTGTCTTTATGTTAAATCGTTCGTCTTGATATCTGCCGAGACCCAACCGAACATTACAACATCATAAAACTGAGTTATGCTCTCCTCGTCTCCCTTTTGCCATGGGATGCATAATCTCCAGTCATATGACTTGTGGCCTCCTCTGTTTAAGCAGATTGTCTTGCAGAGCACACAAATAAAAGCCAAAACTGCTCGTTGAGAAGCTGAACTAAATTTCAGGAGCAGCGGAAAACGAAACACAAGTGCATGTGACAGGATGAGAGAGCCTGCAATGGAAGTAATCAAAAGCTCTTTTACCCTTTGCATATCTCAAGTGTCTGAGTCATCCTTTATATGATGAACTGTTAGTCCTGTCCTAAACTTCGTGCTTCGCGTGTGTGCGTCTCCCTCTGTTAATTGCGTCGTGCTGTATTTGGCAGCGGAGACAGGGATATTATTGCGTGATCCAATGTCAATATTATGAGGATAAATTTTGCGACTGCAAGGACAATGCATGCATCTCAGATGTAGAGTGACAGCCAAAAAGTAAAGTCCTCCCCACCCCTCTATATTACACTCTTTTAACTCCTTTGCCCTACAAGGCCTTTCATATTTTCAGATTAGATTTGACTGGGCTGACTCACCTAGACAAGGTGTTTATTTGTAACGCTGGCACTGGCATCTGATGTGGATCATCTACTGCTCCACATGAGTTATGTTTCTTTGTCTTGGCTTTACTCAGCAGCATAGATCTCAGCAGCCTATAGCTCTTCTCAATGCCCTTTGCAGGTCTGACTGAATGAAGTCCGAGAGCTACGTTATAGGCTCAGATTGTATGAAAAAGGAAAATAGATTACTTTTGCTGTCTAGAACAGGGGCAGCTTAGCAAAAACAACCGGTTCTATACCTGTTGAATGGATGAAAACCTGGAAAATGAGAAGAAGAAAAAAAGACTTGGAACTTGGAACCGACGCTGGGACAAATCATCCACCTCCTATGGCAGCAAGAATTTGGTTTAAAAGACTAGAGGTGCAAACACATTCAATGAAAATAATATGCCATTCAACAGAGGCTTTGATGGCATTGAAAAGGAATAGATGGATGTGAGAACAAATTATAATTTTTTCCACAGTAACCTGAAAACGTAGGCTTTTGTGCTCTTTAGACAGCCTCCCACCACGGGATCTTTACACCATCACGATGGCCGTTTAAGCTGACACATCCCGCAGAGCTTTTGACTTAAAAATCCCAAATCCCGTAGATTAGGAATGAAATGTGAGGGACAACAAGCCCACTTACCCTGAACGCCCTGAATAAGGCCGGGACTATGCGAACTTTATGTGTAACACCTGCTCTTTATGCCCACTGAGCTGACAAAGGGTTTACAGTGAATGTCCCAGCTTGCACTTGAGATACACAGACTCGAGATTCGAGAGGAAAAACTCAGGATACGCCAAGTTATTTTGACCTCTTTGGCCCCTTTTCCCCAACAGAATGGCATTGTGCCTCATGTACAAACATGAATGGATCTTGCAGAGGAAAGTAGATACAAGGTAATAATACTGCCTTGATTATTTTCTTTGGGTCGCAGTACGCTGCAGAGCAGGGTGGTGGGTTTACATTATTAAAAGTGCGTGGGGACTGATATAAATGGCTGTCAGTGCCGATGACGCCTGAGGAACAGCAGAGGAGAACGGCAAGACCTAAACACGCAGGCAACGGAGCATGCGGCCAAACATATCGGCGGTGGCACTACTTTCTGCAGGCGCCAACTATTCCAATGTTTGGATCCACAGTAAATAAACACAGGCTGTGCTCTGGGCAGCCGGTTAGCACACCACCTCAATCCTCCTTTGAAAAGCAATCAGTGAATTTTACACTCAATTACGGCTCGGAGCTGTGTGTTGCGAAGCCAAGAGAGCCGGAGGCATAACAAGGCTGGTGAAGAAGGAGGAGGGGAGGTAGATGAAGGGACAGAGGAATGGAGATGAGGAGGTTGTTTGGCTGACTGTGCTGCTATTGTTCTCAATGAAGGCGGAGGAACACGGGGCTCCGCAAGTCAGACGGCCGCCCTGCTGGGATTTGGATCCAATAATCAAAAGGCTCGAATATCTACTTGGAGCCTTCCGAGCCGTCCATCGCTGCACGTCCCACCTCTCCTGCTCTGATCCCTCCAGGGTTTTATTTGCACCGTTAACGGCACCAATTTACACAACAAAGCATTGTGACACCTTTTTATCTCCGGCTCTTTTACTATTTGGATAAACGGAGCAAAACATATGACCACAACGCCCCCGTGGCTGTCACCCACTTAATGTTTTCACATCTAGTGGAGGAGAGGAAAGTAGAGTATGATAAAAGACTTGTGATCTCCACATTATGTTATTCTGATGGACAGATTCTATTTAAGTCACCTGTCAGCAGCTGAGACTTAGGGCAGTTTTCCTTGAAGATGGAAAACTCCTCAACAGGGGAAAGAAACCAGACTCTGGTTCCTTCTTTTTTTTGCAGACTGTGTCAATAAGCATACGATGGCCTTTTCAGTCGGCAAGACATACGATATTTGCACATCTGCTGAATCCCTTGTCGTCTGATCCACGCTGCACGGCACTGTACTCGCCGCCATGCCGCCAGGAAAGCAGTCACTGTAATGTAACAGAGGAGGACTAACCTCAGACAAAACAGCTCGCATGACGAGTCAACTGTTGTGCCTTAGATCACAAACACAGAATGGGGACTTTTTAGCAGCAGGAGCAAATAAGACACGTCAGGTCACGCTAACTGCCTTGTTAAAAGACACTGCCGAAAGGACTCCAGGATCTGGAGAGTGCATTTCTACCGCAGATGTCACAAAATACATGCATACACACAGCAATCTATTAGAACACATGCTTTCTGAATGATTTACTTGATGTGACAAGTTTTAAGGCTTAATAGACAAAAAAAAAAATATCACAGAACAAGTTTTTTCCAAGATGAACATTTAGGGAACAAAAAGCAAACATTACAGTACCAGGATAAGTAGAGCTGTCACCAGTAGCTTGCAAGATAAAAAACCTTGCTCCATGCCTTTTCAAAGTGTGTGAGTCACTCACTCCAGTTCTGAGTGTGTGTTTGTTTGTATGTAAAAGTGTGTGATGCCCTCCTCTCCGGGTCACTCTGGTGTCCTGTCTGTCTGCCTGCCGTCTCCTCTCTGACTCGCTCCTGTTCTTCCTCAGGAATAAGGGGAGGGAAGGAGGACTTGGAGTGTGCGTCTGTGTTTTTGTGCGGGTGAATGTGGGGGGGGGGGGGGGGGGGGGGGATCCGAGACCCTGCGAATCCTTCAGGTCTGGCACACTATTCAATCAATAAATGGGCCTCAGTCAAGCGTGCTAGTTCAAATAAGGAGCTGGGCCAGCTGCAACTTCACAACTTCACACGTTTGCATGTGTGTGAGTCTGTGTGTGTGTGTGTGTGTGTGTGTGTGTGTGTGTCAGAGTCGGAATAATGGCAGACAGACAACAATTGTAAACCAATTTTCTTCCCCCTTTGATTCTTTCCATTTCATCGTCTAATTACTCAAATTTCTGCCTCTTATATGTATCCCCTTTTTTTTCCCCTCCCTGCTTGCCTCTCTCTCTCATTTTATTGCGCTCATGCTGCTGTTTCTCATTTCTTTTTAGCTCTGGACGGCATTGCTCAGTCTTCTGCCAGCGATGCGTTTTGGAAATGTCAAAAAATCTCATTAAAAAAATCTCATACAGAGCAAGCTAATCTGCTAGCACGTTTTGCATGTGGGTTTGACAATGTCGTTTTTTGATTATCTTTAGAAAAAACAAACCCAAAATGTACACGGATATGCTGACTCCAAACACAAATAGACACGTTTAGGAGCATGTCCGTCTCCTGACTGTGTTTTGCTTCACAAGGACTTGCATGCGAGATCCCCATGCAAATCCGATGACATAGTCTGGTCACTGAAGCTATCGGGGTAGACTTCTCAGCCATGGTGACTTTTTTTCTATTTCTTTATGAGCCAAAGGTCTACTTCAATAGAGCCTTTCATAACATCTGGCAGTTAAAGCCAGTGAACATTTGCACTGTGGAGGTGGGGAACAAGCCAGGTGTCCCCTGGAGGGACAATACCTCTGGTTATAGAGGGAAAACAACCAGCAAGATGGACAGCTCTTGGCGCAGAGGGAATATACTATACGCTGAGTAACTTTCCAGTTTTAACTTTCCAAATGGCAAGGCGCAAAAACAAAAAAAGGCTTAAAGAGAAAGTTAAAAAACATATAGAGCAGTCAGTGTCGGTGCCAACCCTACGGTGCCCCCTTGATGTGACTCACAAGGTAGCAGGCTATCATTCAGGAATTCAAATCCTGACGTTCCAAAGACAATAGAAACCCTGTGCGCTTCAAATCAAGACTTCAAATGCACCTCCCAATCAAACACCAAATCAAAAACCACATAATTGGTATCAATTAAGGCCGCGGGGAATGTGCAGCACTCTAGAGCAAATAGTCAGCAAACCCCAATCACAACATCGGAGCGGATGTCTCGACACTTTACCAGTATACACACACACACACACACACACACACACACACACACACACACACACATTTTTTTATACTCGAGTTATACACAGCAAACCAGTCTTGAAGTCTTAACTTTCTACTAACAGTATGGGACTTGGCTTGTTTGACTTGGTAGTGGGGGATGTCTGTACTTTCTGCGAATTGGGGAATTCTCCACACACACACACACACACACACACACAGCTATCCATTTAACACCGGTGTATTTTGTGATGCCAGCAGGGAGGGAAGCGGACGTGCACGTTTTCACAGGGTCCACACAGAAATCATATCTCCTTGCACCCTTAATCCATAACCTTCTGATATTTGCTT